CACTTCCACTGATCCTTTCCTTCCAGTAGCCTGTAAGAGTCATGATAGAGTATCTACATCAAAAGGTGGAGTTTAGAAGGCATGCCTGATTGATAATAGACTAAATATTTAGACAACCAGAGCCCTGACCTTTATTCAGCCTGAAAGACAGCTCAAAACACATGCACACAATGCAAAGATACACCACAGCCTCTCTAAAGGCATTATATCTTACATGAGAGATAACCCTACCCTTTGAGAATATTGCAAGGAGCCATTTGGGGATACAGAGACTTTGTTGTTGTGTGCCTTGAAGGCATTTCTGAGTTATGATGATCCTAAAGAAAATTATTGGACTGAAATTGTCTGACTCGCTCAACATCACAAAGTAGGTTTTCATTGCTTGCAGGGAATCAAACCCTGGTCTTCAGAGTCACAGTCCATCACTCATAGATACTATCTACTAGTAGGGCCACTACTGGCAAGCAAAGCATATTCTGCATTGGAGGGAAAAACATATTACTTGACCCCACCCTGCTATTTTATTTTAGCCCAACTGTAAGCAATGTCTAAACTTCTGCTTCTAAGCTTGAGCAGAATAAATTAAGTTACACAGCTGAGTAGGAATCTCTTTTCTCATTGTTCCTGACTTATGTGATCCTGGAGGTATGACAGGTATATGCAAACATGGTCTACTGAAAGACAACATAGAAGAAAAATGGTTGTTAGCATACTTCTCTGAGGATAGGACCTCCTGACCTAGGAACTGCAGAGTGACCCTCCAGTGTACATGGCATATATCATGTTGTGCTTGTGCTGTCAAGTCCAATTGTGATGAATAGTTATAGGATCAATAAAAGTGCCGCTGTGCAATTTTTCTAGTGTCACAAAGGTAGTAATATGTGCTGGCCTCTTGTTCTTTTTTCTTCTTCTTTTTTCAGTTAAACAGAGAGGAAAGGAGAAGGAAAGAGAAGAACAAGTTGAAAACAAAACAGCAGCCCTATAAAATCATGTTCAAATGGACAGGCGGAAAAGATGTTGGAATTATTCACATCACAGCGTTTTTTTCTTCTAGGCTTCCCTCCATTTCTTTCTGTTTAATCAGGCTTTGAAAACTCTTATTTTTTGGATGGCAGTTTCCAGACTCCACCCAGCCAGCATACCCACTGCCATATTGTCTGGGGATTTTGTCCCCTACCCCCCACCCCACCAGAAATAATTTCTCAAACTGTGTTTATTTTATGCTCATGGATTAAAATTCAGATTGAATGACAGAATGAAGCAAAACATAGCAAAATCTTTTTTTCATATTATTATTTTACTGACACAAAAGCACAGTATGTCACAGCAAACAAGATATATATGCTGGATTTCGTATCACAAAACCACAAATCGAACACTTCCCAAGCATCTAGGACTGTGTGATGTATTTTCAAATGAGGTGGCCTTTGCAGTTGACAGATCATGATTTTATCAATGTTTATTGTTTCCAAGTGATGGCTGAGATCTTTTGGCATGGCACCCAGTGTGCTGATTACCACTGGGACCACCTGTACTGGTTTGTGCCAGATCCTTTGCAGTTGTTGTTGTTTTTGTTATTATTATTATTATTATTATTATTATTATTATTATTATAATTATTATTCACATGTAGAATGATACAAATGTCAATTACAATTCCACAACATTAAAAAGAACAAACAGATTATGATATTCCACTTACAATTTGACACGTTCTATTTCCTTAACCTTAGTAATACCACATCTCCAACTTGTGTCCAACAGTTTTTTTCAAGCTGTGGTTTGATCAAGTAGACAACTTACCAAAGAAAAGATGAATTAAATGGAGGCCACAGATCACATCTGGCCCTTTGGGTCCCTGAACATTTGCAAGTTTCCATCCTGCAAAGTCCTGAACCTTTTTTTTAAAAAATATACAATTTTTCAGAGGGTTGTTCACTTGAAAGTCAAGCAATTCAACCCTAAACTAGTAGCAAATGTGGTAGTGTACTTCCTCCACCCTTGCAAACCTGTAAAAGCAAGCGGAAAAGTGGAGGTGAATATCTGTTGCTGCCCACCCCATCTTAAAGGTGATCTTAGTGGCACTGTTTGCATTAGATCCAGGATAACAGGATTGTTCAGTTCCCTTTGTCCAAGGTAAGAAAGAAAAGAGATCAGATGGGGGAGGCATATTTATGATGATGTGAACAAATGCCACAAAGAGATTATTTTCAGAATCTGGAGAGCTGCCCCTGAGTATGTTAAGTGTCTTTGGTCAACATCATGACATATTTTATGCAGGTGACCACCTCATAAAGATGGTTCATTAAAATGATCTCTTTATTTATCTTTGATACTGAAACCTCAAGGGTTTTTGTGTTGCAGGCGCTCAATTTTATTCCAGAGTTTAAAAGAGCTATCCACAGTGCTGAACTATATATCCCAATAGTTTCACTGCATGTGTCATTAAACAAATTGCTGTCTTAAATTCACCATTCTGCCCAAAATTGAACATGTTTTCCCTTCATGGCCTATAAGAAAAGGTAAAGGTTTCTCCTGACATTAAATCTAGTCATGTCCCACTCTGGGGGCGCTGCTCATCTCCATTTCTAAGCCAAAGAGCTGGCATTGTCCATAGACCCCTCCAAGGTCATGTGGCCAGCATGACTGCATGGAACGCCATTACCTTCCCAGTTTATTTTATTTATCATGTCAGGAGCAACCAGACATTTGTATTACATTTTTAACAAAACAAAAAAAACAAACAGACAGACAAAACACAAAGTTTGCAAGCTTGGTAGTTGATTAAATGTCCTTTGACCAGTATCTGACTACTTGGAGTGCCTCTAGTTTTGCCGCAAGGAGGTCCTCCATTATGCATGTAGCAGGGCTCAGGTTGCATTGCAGCAGGTGATCAGTAGTTTGCTCTTCTCCACACTCGCATGTCGTGGATTCCACTTTGTAGCCCCATTTCTTAAGATTGGCTTTGTATCTCGTGGTGCCAGAGTGCAGTCTGTTCAGCGCCTTCCAAGTCACCCAGTTTTTTGTGTGCCAAGGGGGGAGACTCTCATTTGGTATCAGCCATTGATTGAGGTTCTGGGTTTGAGCCTGCCACTTTTGGACTCTCGCTTGCTGGGGTGTTCCAGCGAGTGTCTCTGTAGATCTTAGAAAACTATTTCTTGATTTAAGTCGTTGACATGCTGGCTGATATGCAAACAGGGGATGAGCTGGAGATGTCACTGCCTTGGTCCTTTCACTATTGGTTGCTACTTCCCTGCAGATGTCAGGTGGTGCAATACCGGCTAGACAGTGTAGTTTCTCCAATGGTGTAGGGTGCACCTTCACCTTCCCAGTGAAGTGGTACCTATTGATCTACTCATATTTGCATGTTTCCAAACTGCTGGGTTGGCCCTGCTCTTGATCCCACCTCCTTCACAGGTGTGACTGGTGGGGATGAGAGGCAGGGCCTTCTCAGTGGTGACCCCTCATCTATAATAATAATAAAACTTTATTTATATCCCACTCTATCTCCTTGGAGGGACTCAGGGCAAATTCCAACCATAAAAGGCAAACATTCAATGCCCGAATACAACAACAATTCAGTCATAGTAATGAAATTTAGTAACCTAACATATAAACACAAATTATGACTTAACAACTAAAATGAAATTTAAAAAAAACACAGCCTGTTATATCAGATATAAGACAAAACATCGAACATCAAACAGAAGCAACAATTTCCCAGTTCCTTGGGGGAAAATAGTCTATGGAACGCCCTCCCCAATGAAATTAGATCAGTGTCCTCCCTCTTGGCCTTCAGAAAAAAACCAAAAACATGGCTGTAGAACCAACCATTTGGGATGTAAGCAGAACAAGAAACAAACATGCATTATGTGCAATTGTTATTTGATACTGGCCTGAACCATGCTTTTGGATCATGTGATTTTAATGTTTATATAAATATGATTTTAATCCCTTGTTTTAATGTTTTAGTGTAGTTACATTTTATGATTTAATTTATAGTTTTATGTTACTGTTATTTTATGTTAGGTTTTTATGTTTTGTAAGGCATTGAATTTTGCCATGAATATGTTGGAAACTTTGAGTCTTCCCAGGGGTGAGAAAAACAGTTTATAAATTAAGAAAGTAAATCAATAAATAAATATTGAATAGAAACTGGTACCCATAAACACCTCTTACAGCAAAGGTGGGGAAAATGTGGCCCCTAACTCCTCAAATTCCTATGTTCCCCCAAGTTCCCATGACCCTCAACAGCCTTCATGTTTTTAGGGACAATGAGGACAAGACTTCTGACATGATTGCCTTCACTACCTCTTGTGCTAGTGGTTTCTCTAGGTAAACTATGCAGTATTAATGCTAGTATCCTTTTCGTGAATGTGGTGTGGGGGATAGCTGATGATGTGAGGAAATGTCTTTAAAATCATCAAGAGGGCTCGTGGCTCAAAAAAACAACATTTAAATTTGGTTCCCAACTGTTCAGTCTCTGAGCCACAGCATTGTGTCCCTAGTGTTACATGCAGCTGTCTGAATCTGAAAGTAGAAAAAGGGGAAGGGGAACAAATTTGCTGTAATGCTGTCTTCACTCGTACTTATTTTGCTAATTAATATATGTTTTCCCAGAAAGAGTGTTCTATCATCACTTGTCATGTAGTGCTGTAAAAAGCTTAATTTAGTGATAGAAATGGAGGCAAGATGTATCTGCAATTTTTTTCCCATTAGGAAGTCATTTTCTTGTTGTATTCAGCACTTCCTTCATACCTCTGGGCTAAGACAACTTGCCTATGGTTTGGTTTTTTAAAATTGTCTTCAGACAGTGGTTTCCTGTAAATATACATTTCCTTTCAGCCATACGAAAAAGAAAGTATAAAAAGTTACCGCTCACTGTGCAAAGAATAGAATTCATTTGTTGCAGAGGACGGAGTATTTGGAGCTAAACTGAAGAAGAAAAAATGCACCCCTAATGTGTAGTTTTTATGGTCATCACCTAAATCCTTTCTTAGCAGCTCCACCTGAAGATGAAGATGAGATGGCCATTTCGGGCATGTTATTTCTTCCTAAACCACATCATATTAATGCATGTCATCAGTGGTAAGTATTTTCTTCTGACAAGGATGTAGCGTTTGTCTTGTTAAATTTGTTGTATGCCTGAGTTGAATGTTAAGCCTGAATAAGTATTGCCATTATTGATTTTTTCAGCCTTTGAATAACAGAGTTGTATATTTGAGAGTTTCCTCTAGCCATTACTGGCAGGGCCATTCCCAACCTTTTTGTTGTCAAGCACGATAGGACAAAAGCAGATCCACACATATCCATATTCTACAAATGGAAATCATTGGAGATGGCACATGAATTGTATGCCACCACTTTTGATAGGACATCACCTCATCTAGTAGCTTTACTTGAGGGCTAGCTTGTTTCAGAGAAGGGCTGATAGCTTGGAATGCATTGTGTTGCTTTCTAGGAGATCGGATTCTCCAAAAAGCTTCCCCTGCTGCCCTCTTCATGCTGTTAAATGGGTATATATTTGTTTATTTCATTCCTGCATGGGAGCCCCCGGGGGCGCACTGGGTTATGTTGTGCTGACCGAAAGATCAGCAGTTCAAATCTGGTGAGCTCCCATCTGTCAGCTCCAGCTTCTCATGCAAGGACATGAGAAAAGTCTCTCACAGGATGGTAAAACATCTGGGTGTCCCAGATGGCCAATTCTCTCACACCAAAAGCAACTTGCAGTTTCTTAAGTTGCTCATGACATGAAAAAAAAATCCTGTATGTACTTTCAAAAGTCTTATCCTTGCTAAATGAGAGTGCAAATGGGTTTGTGCATTTTTTAAAAGGCTTTTAGACACTTTCGGGCTTTTTTTTTTTTTAAAAAAACTTCTTATACATAATACAGTGATCTGTGCAAAAAGTAGAGTCATTTTTTTCATGTTTGGGCAAAAAAAAAAAAAAACCCCATCATGTTTCCATGAGCAAAACCCCCCCAATATTTTGGCAAATATATATATGTGTATCAAATCTGTAAAAAAATGGCAATCAACCATTTTCTTAACCAAGTGTGTTTAGACATCTTTTCTAGTAGAGGATGGAAAATGTAAAAGTCTCATCTACCAGCAATCATTTACATCCTGCTTCAGCTGACTGTCTCAGTCTATCTAATGGTGGGGTTCTTCCTAATACAGAAAATATTGACCTACATGGGTCTTTGGTCTAATGTAGCTAGCACTTCCTGTGTTCCTTAGTAATGAATAAAGCAGGTTTGTTTCCAAAGGTAGGTTTCTAGGAGACATTACATGAATATGTATTATTAATAACCAAATGTACAGGTATAACTTAGTTAACAATGTATATGTGTCCTGGGACATTAATTCATTAACAGAACATTGGTACCAGAGGAAGAAATAACACAGAAAGAATAGGAATAGTCCACCCCAAAAGTGCATTTCAATATTTTTCAGCAAATATTTTATTTAAAGTCTAAATCAAGCACATGTAAAATGAAACAACCAAGCCACATAAGACTTGCAGTAAATAATAATAATAATAATAATAATAATAATAATAATAATAATAATAATAGCGGATCACAAGTACACATACACGGCAAACATTCAATGCTGTTTGTATAGACAGGACACAGATAGACAGCACAGAAGGAGGTATTGTTTTGATGCCATGGACAGTTGGGCTCGAGTCCACAGGGGGTGCTGGCCATCAGGACTTCCTCATTCCTGCATTTTCTGATCTTCTTTTTCTTTATGGCATTGTAAAACCCTCTCTCGCTTTTAGCTGTACTTAATTTCTCTAATTACAGCTAAAGCTCTTTTTTAACTGCTTAGGTAAACAGTGAGCAGGGCTGACGGTCGGTCGCTCATGCCGACTCAGGGATTTGAACTTGCAATCTTTCGGTTGATAGATCTTACAGTTGCTGATGATTTTTACCAGCTGTGATAAACCTCCTGAGACTACCTAAAAATGCAATCAGGAATTATTTTATTTTATTTTATTTTTCCATTCTCTACTTTTCTTCTGATTTTCATTTTGGGGGACAAATGTACACAGGCCTGCTTTTAGATAGTGACACAGAGTTATATACTGTCCTCTTTTCTGGTTCTGTTCATACTTGCCTTGAAGGTTATAGGAAGGCATACACACAGCTATAATAGAATCATCTAGCATAGAATCCCATTCTTTCTCATCTCAAGCTTTATTGAATTGTTCAGTGCTGACCTACTGATGCAACACAGCTCCAAAATGTTTGTATTTATTCTCTATCCTCCCAGCGCTAATGTGGCTTTAAAAACAACAACAAATGAAATGGAGTGGGAAAAGGAGGAACTAGGTAGATGTAAGAAGCCTTTGTGAAAAGGGAAGTCTATCTCAAATAACTGTACTATGCCTGTATACTTGAAAAGAAAACTGCCAAAAGACTTGCTATTTTGCAAATGTAGACTTTGTCCTTGTGCATACATAATACAGCCGCTGACAAAAAGCACGTGACTTGTCAAGCTTTGATAATGAATCGTCTTGGTCTTTTGCTGCATTCTTGCATTTCAATGAGGCTAGTGCAGGAGAACATTCTGGTGGGAAGCACCCAATGTCAATGTAAGCAAAATGGTTGTAATGTTAGAGTAGTTCGATCCGTCAATTCTCCCCTAAATACATGTGTGCTGATGCAGTAAATCTTACGAGAGGACTTGACCCAACCAGATAAAGCCAGCTGCTGGGCCTCGATGTAGGAGAATAAGCCTAAGTACAGACCAAACAGATAAACTTTAGTCAGACATGCCTAACAACTTTGGCCTGATGACAGACCACTCCCGACAGCTTGAAAGATACAGACACTCAAGAGTTGCAACACGTCTTGAAATAAAAGGGCTATTAATAATAGTTAAGTATTAAAATATTTATTCCCAGTTCTCTGTTGCTGTTGCACTTTGATCTTCATGCATGCTTTTAAGAATAGTTTTCAGGAAGAATTTCCTGTGCAGGGTTTCATCAGACGTGGAGCAGCTTCCTGAATGCAAGATGCTCAACTAAGTGTCTCTCTTTCTTCAGATCCCTGGACTGTTTAGAATGTTCTTTCTTCCTCATTAGAGAAATATGTACTTTGGCTCCTAATTTTAAATTTTCTATAAGGGTCTACTCACTTTTTTGAGACAGTAATAAATTTGTGGATCTAAATGCTCACATTCATGAATTAGTGAATTAATTCATGAATTAGTAATTTTTCACCTCAGCCACCATTTATCCACAAAAATGTTAGCAAATGTTAGCAAATGTCTTTATGGGGTGAAGGGGCAATTTTGTGTTTTTAGTCCTGTCTTGGTTCAAAGTATGCCTATTTATGTCACATTTGCCAAGGGGTTCACTCAAAATGGACAGAGACCAAGCAAGGGAAGGTAGAATGCTAACAATAAGATAAAATGGCCCTAATGTTTCATTAATTTAATATTGCTAAAGCACTTCTGAATAATAATTAAATAGGACTGAATAGAAATGGGTGAAAGTCTGTTTCAGAAACACTACCTGAGTTTAGGGACCCCATCACAATAATGTTTTTCAGTGTCCTAGGATGCTTTCAGGATGCTGGGAGGATGGAGCCAGACGGAGCCCATCACATGATGCAGGGCTACTTCCAATGGGGCTCCATCCTCCCAGCATCCTGAAAGCATCCTAGAATACTGCCCAGAGAACACAAGAGGCTTCCTGTGTTCTCATTGACGAGAATGGGGACAGCGCAGAGATAAGTCGGATGGCAGCCTTTCCCCCCCATGAAATGGGGAAAACACCAATGTGGGTGATGTAGACATACCCCCCTTTTCCAGCCCTTTTTTCTGCCCTCAAAATCTGTTCCAGGGAGGAGGTAGGTTTCCAAGGAATACAATTAGCTGTAGTGAAGAATGGTGGGGAAGAAAGTTCTGTTGAACCAGCAGATATTTGCTTTTTTGATATTGGATTAAGCCCCATTTCACGGGTGAAAATCCAGACAAGCATGGCTGAGCATCATTACAGTGTAGTCCAGTGTAGGTAAAGATGTTAATGAGGAAGAACACACAAGTCAGAAGAGGCTGCCATAGTCTGAGCCTATTGGGAAGGACAAGACCATGCCAGTTCTTCTCTCTGAGTTAAATGAAAGGAACCTACACTTGCTTTTGCACTTTTAACTCTATTCATGTTAATTGAAATAAGCTGAGGACAAAGCGAGAAGTGAGAGGAAGAGAGATAAAGTGAAACATTTTAAATTAGCTGAAAAAATGGAACAACAGAGGATGAATTAAGACTGTCCCTGCCAAATCAAAGCAGTTGGAGGGTATACTATATCTCAAATTCCTATTTATCTTTTACAATATAAATGATCAAGATAAAAAGTAGAGCAACCATTAGAATAAGTATGAATAATAACATATGTTGTGTTTTTTTGTTGGCATGTAGCTCAGTCTGAAATTATTATTAAGAATGAGGAATATGTCTATGCCTTGCCTGGTGATGATGTGACTCTAACATGCAGCATCCTGAAAGGAAAAGGAATCCATGTTACGCAAACACAGTGGTCAAAGATTGATGCTGCTTCTCAAAGAAGTATTGGTGTACATCATCCTCGCTATGGGACTGTATACAATGAAAGGGGCTACAACTATTCCCTAAACTTCAGAAAGGCCTTCCAATCTTGTCAGACAGACTTCAGCCACAGTTTTTCTTCAGAAAATCATATGGAATGCGATCAGTGGATTCTGCAGATGAGGAATGTGAGTCTTGAACGGTTTGGCTTGTATGAGTGTAGCTTTGCTACATATCCAGCAGGAACAACCAGCTCAGAAATCAATCTTGTTGTTATGAAGAGCGGTAAGTAACAGTGCATCCCTTATTAGCAGTACGCTTACTTTCTCAGGATTGCTGCAGAGATGAACACATATTTATTTATTGTGTGCTACTAGGTGACTGGCTTCCTGTTGCAATTGAGGTTTTTTAAATGCTAAATGATGTGTTTCAGTTCATATATTGTAAGAATTGAAAAATGTTTCCTATACTCTGCAGGAATAACTGGGATAGTAAGTAGAGCAGGACTGAGCAACTGTGTGGTCTCAAAGCTAATTTTCATCCCTCAGCCTTCTAACAGCTTGCAACAGCACATCCAGATAGACTGGAATCAATGTCTTCATATTTGCTGAATTACACATCACAAAAGTTTGGAAGGTGATTCTGATAGGGAGGAAATATATACCATCAGATTTGTATATAGCTTTGGGCAGGCCTGTAGCGAGGGGGTGGTTTTAGGGGTTCAAACCCTCCCCGAAATGTTTCAGATTTTTTTTTAAAAAAACTGGTTTACTCATGAATTTTAACTGGTTAACCAAATCCTCATGCTAAGTCTATGAGATGCAAAAAATTAAGAGTCCCTCCAGAACTGCAAGCACTATCTCAAGCAAATATTGACAATTTATTCACACTGTCATTACTTGCAGCAATAGCCGATGTAGTGAAGCAACCAAGTTGGGTGTGTGTGTGTTGAAGGCCAGACTTGGTGGAGGTGGTTGACAGGGGCAGAGCTGCAGGCTAGTGAAGGCTGCTCTGCCCTCTGCTGTGCTCTTTGCTTCAGCGTGAGCTAGGAGGCAGGTTTCAACCCCCCCCCCCCGTGAAATTTTAAACCCCTCCCCAAATTTTCACACACACCCCCGCCAAAATTGTCAACCCTTCCCAAAAATTTTTTCTGGCTACGGCCCTGGCTTTGGGTGATATGGTACAGGTTGGTGGCAAAAACACTTCTCCCCATTATCCTGGTCTTATGCGGGGCTTCAAGGAGTCAGAAAAGAAAGAAAGAAAGAAAGAAGATGATGATGATGAAGATGATGATGAAGAGGAGGGGGGACTTTATTTTTCCACCCCGCCTCCATCTTCCTGCGGGGACTTGGGGTGGCTTACATGGGGCCAAGCCCAAAATAACATACAATCAAAACAGAACAATAAAATATTTAAACAGCATAAAACAGCATGAGGATTAAAAGCAAACATCATAAGCAACAACAGAACTTATTTTTGGGGAGAAGGGGGCCAATATGCAAGACAGGTTAAAGAATAAGGTGGTCAATAAGGTGCATAGTACCGAATAGAATAGTAGCATAGGAATGATGACATAGAAATAGAGCAATTTAACAGGATCAATTCAACTTAGCTTAAGAATATAGTAATAAATATAGGAATTTAGATTAAGGTCATGATTCAGGTCATGATTCGAATAATCTGTCACAGGACTTGTCAATCGAATCCACAATGAAACATTCACGTCTTTAATTCCTTATGGAATATGGATAGGGAGGGTACTAGCCTAATCTCCCTGGGGAGGGAGTTCCAGAGATGAGGGGCCACCACCGAGAATGCCCTCTCCCTCATCCCCACCAACCACTCCTGAGACAGGGGTGGAAGCGGGAGAAGGGCATCCCCGGAAGATCTTAAAGACCATGGGGGCTCGTAGAGGAGGATACAGTCATGAAGATAGGCCATTTAGGAGGATTTGGAGGCTGCAATTAAAAAGGGAAATGGGTAGTGGCACCGTTATAAAGCAAGATTTGTGTGTATGTGTGTGGGAGGGAGTGGACGGAAGTTGCTACTTTGTGAAATGAGTGGGACTCTTAAATACAGCAGAGCTATAGTATCTTTCCTATGAGGTTCTTCTGATAGTACAGGTTGAGAGAGATTGACTCCTATAGCCCCTAACTGCATGAGAAAGTATCAGAGGAGCAAAACCGGGTGCCAGTTGGACAATGTTCACCCACCATTTGATTTGAACACTGGTTGAGACTGTATGTCATGGTTTGCCCCAACCATCTACTCCAAGCAAGGCTTATGTTGAGAGTACCTGGATTCCAACCCTATTTCACTTTCCCCATTGTACCCTATATAAATGTAACATGAAAGTGTCCACATCAGTTCCATAATGTAATAGCTTGTGATCCACTTATGTTCACCGCACATATTAATTTTATTTTATAATTCATCTTTCTCCCAACAATGGTTCTCAAGGCAGTTAACAATATATTGTAGGTCCCTAGTATCCACTGGGGTTTGGGGGATTCCAGTACCTCAAAATCTGTGGATGCTCAAGAGTTTATACTGCTCTTAAGTATAAAGAGCTGTATAAAGTATAAAAAGCAATTGAACGATTTATAAAGAAAACATTAAACATTAAAATTCATCAAAAGATCATGTACCAACCCTTCAAAAGTACTTAAAACCCCACTCTAGTCAGTTTTTAAAGTTTGACAACATAAAAATCCATTGACTTGTTGACAGAAGACCATCCTGTCACCCCAAGACTCTGAATAATGTGCATCATTCAGGTATATACATGATCTGCATAAAATGACAGATTATGCTTTCTATGCAACAGCTATGGACAAACATGAAACTAACAGTTCAGAATTTCCATATATGTGTCTTCTAGAAACACCTTGATAAGTTAAAACAAACCAAGGAGTAGGAGGGTGGTGATTATGAAGTGGGCAGAGATGCTACTGGAAATGTTGGGTTGTTGAGGTTATGATCTTTATGTTTCTGCTAAGTTTATCTCTTTCAAGGTTTCTTCACATCTTTCTGGAGTATGATTATCCATGTGCTAACACTATCACTGCCATTGAAACTAGACAGAAGTCAATTATTGTTCACAAGCCATTAACTTTATTCATCTGCTCTCTCTTGCTTTTCACTGAAATCCCTGCTAGAGTACATTACACACTCACCTTTTCAACAAGCTGGGACAGAACATGCTCAGAAAGTGAGTTCAAGGATTAACAATATTAGATATTAAGAAAACATGACTCCACATCAAAGCAAAACAAGGCCATCTGGAGGGAATGGATCCACCCCAATTCACTGGGGATTGCTAACTGGGAGACGTGGAGGACTACAAGTGGAGGGAATGAACATTACTGTAGAATTGAATGAAAGGGAAAAATGACAAAATAACATGGTTGATGCAATGTAGTGAGAATGCAGAGACCAACCCAAAGTTGTAATGCTTCACCAATTTCTTCCTGACCTTAATGTAAGACATCTGGTTTCCTATATAAGTGCTGATTCTCTAGCAACTGCTGTCTTGGTTTGGGAGGTCATGGTAAGGTCATACTAAGCCATAGTTTACTATTTTAGCAGCAGTGGCTCATCGTTGATTCTCCAGATGTTTCTCCCTCAACTTCTGTGATGGAAATGTGGTCATTGTGGTCACTAGATAGACAAATAACCTTTTATCCTGCATTATATCAATCGGGGTACATCTACACTGTAGAATGAATGCAGTTTGACACTAATTAAACTACCATGATTTAATACTATAAAATCCTGGGAGCATTCTTTGACAGAGAAGCTACAGACCTTGTAAAACTACAGTGCCTAGCATTCCAAAACATGGCAGTTAATATGGTGTTAAACTGCACTTATTCTACAATGTAGATATGTCCCAGACTGGGTGAACCTTTTACAAACCAATATTAGTTTAAAACACAAACAAATGCTTCTAATCCTTTCCTTGGCACCATCTCCAAGGTGGAGAGAAATAGATATATATGCTTGTTTGTTCCTTCGCAATCTTATAGTCATTTGATCCTAGTGGTATATGCTGTACCAGTCCCAAAGAGGCTGTGTTAACTCTGATTCTTGGATATCTCCAGCAGAAGGGGGGGGGGGGAGTGTGAGCACACGTGGTATGTGTAGCTTCCCCCATGCATTCTATAGCAACAAGAGCTCTCCCGTGTTGCCCTACCAGCAGCATGTGCTGGCTCTGCCCTCTTTCATCCACGGAGGTGGTGTGTCATCATGTGAGGGAAGCCAGACAGCTCCGTGGGTAACCAGGGCTAAAATTGGTGCATGCCACTGATTTTAGCCCTTTGTGATGAGGTGGAAAGTAATTTGCTTTGAACCGTAGTTATTGTTTTGTTGGTTTTTATATTCTACACACTCAAAGAATATAAAGGACAGGCTGCTTTCATTCTGAAATAGTTTAGTGTACTCCAGTAGTCAATATACACAGTGGGTCTGTTCTACCTATGATTTATACAAACCATGGATTGTTGTACTTCATGTTCATAAATCATGATAGCATAAATGTTAAGCTTGCGTAATTATATCATATGGAGTACAATCCTTTGCATTTTTTTGTATCTGTAGTGGGTCCCAGAACCAAAGTCTCGTAGATATGGCAGACCCACTGTATTTGCAATGTGATCTCATGTGCCTCCTATTTTTCCTGAACGTAATTTGTAGAGTTTGTTTTTCTCACATCATATATGGCAGAAGTCTTTGGTGTAAACCAGAGGTACCTATATCAGAAATATACTCCCTTCTATTTTTTTAGAAGTATAATGAAATCACTAAATATAAAATACTGGCAGAAATCAGTCAGCACAGTCTACATCAGCAGAACAGGAAGAATAATTTAACTTTAAATGTACTACATATCATGAGTTTACCCTTAATTTTATTTCTTTATATACATGTAAGATGACAAGAACTTTGTGGTAGAAACACTGCTAAACCAGACACTGGAAATCCCATGCTTGAAAGACATGCCTTCTGAAAACATGACAAATGCTTCTTTGAACTGGTTTCTGGTAAGTAACACTTTTTTAGATACTGGTAGGAGCAAGAAATGTTTTATATTTTGACAAATGTAAACATGAACTGTGTGATCTAAGAGTCAAAGCATAAGCTTCCAAAAGAGAATGACTGTTTTCTGGTTCAAATTGCTGTCATGCCTTGGAGTGATGAAATTACAGTAGTTTATCACTACTGAATATGTCAGATTGATATAAGAATCAAGACCACCGCACACTGCACACCGCACTTATATTATAATCCCATATACCTCCGACACATCAGCACTTTTAATCCTGTACCCCTACCCCGGCCGGCTCAGTTTTTAATAATGTCTTGTTGTATTGCTATTGTATTGTTTTTTCTGCTTAATTGTCTTATTTGCTATGTATTGTATTGTTGTATTGTGTGGGCTTCGGCTGTTGTAAGCCGCATCGAATCCTTCGGGAGATGCTAGCGGGGTACAAATAAAGTAATAATAATAATAATAATAATAATAATAATAATAATAATATAATAATAATAATAATAATAATAATAATAATATAAGAATCCTAAATACTTGCATGAACACATGTAATTCAGTTGGGGGGGGGGATCCCGCTGCTGTAGTGGAATTGTTGCTACTTTACTTGCCCTGAAGTCAATCGTGACTTATGGAAATCCTGTCTTTGCAAGATATATTAAAAAGAATTTGGCCATCACCTTTCTCTGAATATAGCCTACAGCACCTTGTATTCCCTGATTACAACTCTCAAAACACCCCAGTGCATATGGCCAATCTGAAAACTACAGTGCTTCCTCCCACTGCACATCCTATGCTCTGGATTAAATATACATATTTATATCTCATAATCACACTTTTTACATATAACCTACCGTTCCTTCCTTCCTTCTGATCCATTAACATAATTCCCAACTGTCTCTTCCACAGAATGATCCCATGACTGTCATGTTAATACAACTGTTGCTTCTTTTCTTGTTCAACTATTAGTTTTCTCAGATTTCCACCTTATCTCCCATTATTTATGGGCCACCAACCTGTTTTAACAGCAACCACAAGAGGTTACTTTACTTTGATTCAGATACATGCATCAATCTATGTTATGTAACTTTCATACACCTAACTATGTAACATAGATGCTAAGAAAACCTGTTAGTGAATTGCAATGATATGTAAGAGAATGCCAGCAAGATTGCCCAAAATGCATTGGTGTGGTATACATGTCAAGATCAATGTGATGTGTATCAGGACCAATGTGGTATGGATATGGACATAATGGATTTAATTTTTTTTAATTCCCATCTACAGTGATTCCACTTTACAAAGATATAAATCCTCCACAGGAATCTGGCCTGTATCCCTATCATTCTATTGTTTTTTTAAAATAAAAAAATCCTAATAGGGTATTACATCTCATCACTAATTTAGTTCATCCATGTCCTTTTCCTTGTGTAATGTGACTCATTAAGATGGTAATGATAAAATAAGTAATTTGGAAACCACTCTGAGAGCCTTTGTGGCTGAAGAGAGGAGTAGAAATACTCTCAAATAATTTAGTTTTGTTTTTATATAATTTTTCTCATTACCTATGTAATAGAGAAGTAGAATAAATATTAAGTAATAAATTGTAAAAAAATTCAGCTGTGGTTGAGTTCCTACATTGCATTTGTAACTACATAAATGTGATTACAAAAGAACTTCAGGAGTGTGGCTAAAAAGTGAAGTTCTCTTCTACTTAAGTCTGGTGTGACATACAAAGCAAACCACAGAGAAAAGGTGGTTTTGGGGGCTCCATAACTGGCAGTGCATTTCTTTTAGGTATTTAGGGAGCGAGGATTATCCATATAAGCCAATATTTGTCTTAGTGATCTATTAATCCATAAGGGGTAGCAATAATAGACAGTGGCTTGACATCAGCCATCATAGCCTCTCTGCAAAATTTGGCCTAGCTTTCATGCTGGATAGACTTCAAGAAAAGTATCATTTCATTGGAACAATAAATCAACTTAAAAGAGCAAAGATTGGGAACCTCCTCAATTTAAAGGAAACCTTTTTATTTCCGAAATTAACTCTGTTGAAATCTGACCGGAAGTTTTAAGAGAAAGTTTTTAAATTGGCTAAAATTTACCTCCCCCACCTTTTTTGGATTTAGGAAATGAGGCTGTTTTTGTTTGGTTGTTGGAGAAGGGTAAGATTGAACCGTGATTTATTAATAATTGGATAACATTGCTTGGCAATCCCAAGGCTAATCTAAAGATGAAGATGAAAGTTCACAACTATAAAGATTGCAAATCAACAAGAATTAAAATGAGACAGAGAAAGAAAATACATTTCAAGAAGAGATAGGCCTTTTTCAACAAGTGAATAAATTATGATCTTTGCTGGGGAAAAGTAAAATTGTATGGCCATCTCTCATTATTTTACTGTTACTTTGCTGCTTATGTAAAACACTGAAAGATTTTGAAACTCCAGATTTGGGCATATCTACACTGATCACTTCAGTTGGATTGAAGCTTAATGAGTTATCTGAAATCAAGAGATAGCCTGAATTTTGGCCCAGAATACAGGGTATCCCCTGACTTTTGGTGCCATCTGAATAGGTGGGCCAGTTCCAGAACAGAACCAGATGCAACCGTTCCCACTGCTATCCCATTTTTCCTGGTTGTTGGCAACCTGAAGACACATGCCCTCATACCCTCATGCCTTCTGTGTTGTGGTAGTCTTTGACTGGGATATGGGCCTACCTATTGAGCATCACCTGTAGTGATGTCAACTAGGGTGATGGGGCACTCTCCCTCTTCACCCCATTGTCCTGTCTGATGTAACTTGAAGCAATAGCTGACAAATAAATCCTGCCATGACATGGAGACCAATGCAACACAAAGACCAGAAGGGGGTGGTAAGGGTGCCATCTAGCAGTATCAAACTGTTTTCAGGACCACTGGTGATCAGGACACCACCACAACACTCTATCACACTCCATTTATATGGCAATCTAAACTGAAAAAAGAAGGCACATGATGATAACTATCAGACAGTTTTCGAGAAGTTTTTCCTTCTCCCACCACTGCACTGTTATGTCTTTCACTTACCATTTTTTAAAATGCTATCTCCTTTGGAGTTATTTATCTTGCTGGCTTTTTCCAAAGCTTAGAAACATTGCTGCTACTACTACTACAACTCCCCCAAATCCCCAGCTAGTTGTGACATGCAAAACAGAAACATTTCAAAATTAATTATTTTCTTTTTTAAAAAGGAACATTGAAAGTGTAGAAAAGGTTAACTTTTTCAAAGCATTTTCCAAACTGGCTTTTTAAAAAATCCTACTTTTTCTATGACTTTAAAAAAATCAGCAAGTGTGTAGGTTGCTGCAGGGAATGTATGAAGTATGAGAAAACAAATATTCAAAAAGATAGCAGTTATATAGCAAATACACAGAGGTTCATTTATAATTAATGAATGTCTTATGCTTTGTTGCAAATATTGAAATTCATACTTCAACAACTCTTCTTGAGGACTTTCAGGTGAAAATAAACATTTCTAAGTATAATGGGAACAGAACGCAGAAAGTTCATTTTAGAAAGTACTCAATTAAAATAATAGTTCCAGAAACTCAAAGTAATTGCTGTGTGCCTTCAAGTTATTTCTAACTTACAGCAACACTAAGGTGACCTTATAATTGGGTTTTCTTGGGCTGAGAATATGTGACTTCCCTAAGAACATTATGATTACAGTGATTTAAAAAAGGCTTACATTTTCCCATTTTCTAAAGTTATGTAAGCCTTTATGATGTGCTACAAAACACTCTTGCTTCCCACCTGTCTTACTGCCGTGTAATGTGAAAGCTAAGTGGACTGTTCATTAACTCCAAAGAAACTAGAAAGTTCCAGCTTGTTATCACACTGCCATTTTCAGAGCTGAAGAATGACTACCTGTCCTTCTGTGAATGCTTGGGAAGTTGAATAGCCATGGTTCATCTGAACAAGTTCAGGCAACCTGGCATCCTCCGGATCTTTCAGCCTACACCCCTTGTCATCACTCCGAAAGAGTGGTCAGGGCTGCATGAGATAGTCTCCCAGAACTTTTGGAGTATTTGGTGAATAATCCTTAGTAGTATTGTCTTCTATAGTGTTGATTCCAAAAGAAAGAGAGGATGAGGAGAATTCTAGAGATTGTTAGATGGGAATTAATCACTGAAAAAACTCTTATTTTAAGCAGAAAGAGAACAAGAATGAAGAGTTACTTATAAGTAAACAGTCTTATTATGGTCATGAATACATAACCAGATCTACACCATTCAAGGAGAGAATCAAGATGAATCCAGAAAACACATTAATAATCTCACCAGTGTCGGTCCTTGATGATGGCATGAAATTCATCTGTTCTGTTGTCTACCGGCCTGGAAGAATGATTAGGAGCACTACAGATGTAAAAGTATTTGGTAAGCATGAGAAATAATTCTTCTAGTAGTAAGGAATATGGTTCGTATTGTTATCCAAGAATTTAAATGTTTCAAGAAGGCATAACTGGAACTAGAGAAAATTACAGTTTTAATCCCCATTAGCCTTGAAGAGTTATCTGAATTGGCTCTTCCTTCCCTTTACACCCATAAGCAATAACAGAGGTTCATTCCAACTGCAGGATGAGGGGAGGGCACAGAACTGAGGACTAGAACATTACACTCTGCCTACTTGAGGTACAGTATGTCCTGCTGCTGCTCAAGGCATTCCCCAATATTGCCTTCAAAGAAGGCAATGCTTGTCAACAGGAAAAGGTAGCATCAAGCCAGTATCTGTACAGTACCAGTACTAAGTGTAGCATTATACTACAAATACATGGAACACTTCAGAAGGGAATTCTACTACACGTCAAGAATCACAGTTGTTCAGGATTGTACATCATGAACAGCAAGTGAGTAATGGAAACCTTTTCTGCCTTTGGCACCAGAACCTGGAAACAGAACTGTAGGACTATATCTTTCTAGGAGTTGTGTAAACATTAACTTCTCCAGTGTCTGTTTGGTATGTTATTGTAGCTCTACCCTTTTTTAATACAATATTTAAGTGTTCAGAAATGTAATCAAATTAAATGAATTCTTTTCTGAAAAGATATGATTCACTGTCCACTTGGACATATGATGTCTCTGAGGGCAACACAAAAATTCCAACTCTATGTTTGATGTCTCATCAATTTCTGTGGATTAGGTAAGAACATCTACAACTGTAAATTAATCATGATGTAGAATTCTGTACAAATGGTATTTCTGATTGTGTGGAAGGATGTATAATAGAATTTCACTCTGAAGATGTCCATGTTCCACATATGCATGCCACAAGGAACCACATGTCAGGTTCTCTCACTGCTTGATTTGTGCCTGAAGATGCCTCCACATTGATAATGTATGAAGTGGGCTTTCTGAGTGTTGTGTATTTTCCAAATATTTCCGTTTTTGTTAATTATCAAAGAATTGGGTTAAATCATCCCTGTAGTCCATTCTAACTGTATGGCTCTATTATTCATTTAAAAGAAAAGAAAAGAAACATACATGGCCCATTAAACCAGATATTCCTAACTACAAAAGACAAATGGGAGATAATATGTATGCTGCAGTTCAAAAACCAATAAAATATTTCAAATTTACAGGCTTATACAAAACTTGTATTCAAATCAAATGATGCTAAAGTGTTTATAAAGCTGCAAACAATTAAGACTGAAAAGCTATTTTTCTAGTGTTTCATCAAGAGCAGAGGTTTTAAAACATGTTTTCTAACATGTGGCTAACCAACAGTCTCACACATCACATTGAAATGTAAAAGTTATGAGTAATTCAAGTTGCCTGATATGTTATGATCTCATCATCTTTGTAGTGACTAAGTATAGAGGAAAAACAACCAGGTTTTTACAAAGTCCAGGTCTGCATACAGCTGTGTTCAGACTGATATTCATCTATAGCAGGCCTGCACAATTTGGCAATAGTAAGGGGCTGAAATTAAATAGGCTAAACCTCTTGGGGCCCTAGATAGATTTTTAGCATTTCACTTTTCAAATAAAGGTATAATTAATTATTAATTAGGATTGTTGTTGTTACTGTTGTTGTGTGCCTTCAAGTTGTTTCTGATCTAGGGCGACCCTAAAGCAACCCTATCACAGAGTTTCTTGGCACCATTCTAAGTTATATATTTTGTGGGGTCTTTAGTGCTTTTCTCTATGGTTTTTGTGCTGTTTTTTCATCCCCCAAAGTTGCATTTGGAAGCAAATTGGGGAGGGACGGGTTTGTGTCCACAGAATAAACCACCTGCAGATGGAAGGAAGCCCTGTGTGCCAGGAGCATGGAGCTGAGGGTGGCAGTGGCACTCTGTTTTTGCTGCTTTATCCCTCTGCGAGCTGCACTAGGTCTTTGGGCGGGCCACATGTGTGGGCCACTTGCTTATTATAGCTTTATATTGTTATTTTAGTTTCTTTCTACATTCCTTAGAGAATTGAATATTCTACAGAAGCTAATGAATGTAACAAATAAATAAATGAGCATAATGCTTTAGGTAACTCTACTCCAGCTATGCTATCAAAACAGATCCATATTGTGAAAACAATTTTATAAAATACAAATGCAGATATTCTGCATTTTAAAAACACAAGCAGATCTTCTTCTGAATGCACTCTTATTTTGTTTAATTTAAACAAGAGCAGAGTCATTTTAAAAGGTAATTTTATCTCTTTTGCAATGTGTTAATTATATGTTATATTGTTTTAACCCTCTGGGCTTTTAAAAAAAATCTACTGTCATTTGATTGTTTTTTTAACCTTTGTAAACTTATTTTTAAAAGCTGCATATGTTTTTTAAATGCTTGTGTGCTGCTTTGCATCCTGTATAGCAGGCATTTTGCATGGTGTGCAAATCTTCATTTTTAAATTGTAGGTCATATCTAATTTGTAGATTTCGTATATACAAACAGATATTAAGGAACCGGGGGGGGGGGGGGGGGGGGGGTGTCCACACAAAATCTTAAGAATCAAAACTTACCAAATACTGTTTTATTTGAATTCTGTAATGCTCGAAAGTGAGGCGAAGGCTGCATTCTTTAAATTAAGAGGAGACAGGCTGCCTCTCAGCATGAGAAGAGGAAAACAGCAGGGTGGGATGAACTGAGTGAGCAGGGAAAGAGACAGAGCGAGCACAGCATTCTGGGAAATGTATTTTGGGGAGGCAATGAGCCATGTGTCAGAGAATTTTAAAAAATCTACAGAATTCTACTCCACATAAGAAAACCCCAATTAGGATAGGGGAGCAACAGCCAGAGTTCCAGTAAATTGTTGAATCTGCAAAGAGGAGGACTGACTGATACCTCAATACTAAATTGAAATTACTAAATTGAAGTTCTATTGGCTAATATGCAAAACATTCAATAGGATAGTGCTGTGGCTTTTTCTTTTTAAAAGATTTTGTCAAAATTTTGAAAAAATCTCAAAAGTCAGTAGATGTATGAATATTTCTGAAATTTGGGGGGAGTTATCCCCTGTTATCTTGCATCATTGTATAGAAGGTTCAAAGAGATATATGTTGTCGTTTTTTTAAAAAAAATGTTATTTGTAAAAACTTTGAAATTTTCTCAAAAATTTATGGATGAGTAAAACATTCTGAAACTTGAAAGTCAAACAGTGGTAAATGTGTTCTGTAATTGTAGCAAGTCATGCCAATATCTCCAACAATGAGGGAGAAGGGCCCCCTGAAGTTTCCCCATTGGCACAATTTCTTAACAAGAAGTAACAAAAAAGTACTTTTGGAAATTTCAAATTTTGGAAAAACTTTAGAAATGATTTTCCCCGACCCCCTAATTTTGTAATGAATATTGAAACCATTTTTATTGATCACACAGGCATATTATATATAAAAATTACTTATGATTACAAGTCTACATATACAAATGGGAGTAGATTTAAGTAATATATAATAATACATAACTTACCTGAATTGAAACAAGCCTTGTACTTCCTGAAATGTAAAACTATTTTTAGTTAAATAGGCATGCCCACTCTCATCTTTCCATATCTACTCTAGAGAAAGAAAAACCCCTCATCAATCTAGTTTTACACAAAACAGCCTTCCCTTTGAGTAAAAGCACTGCATGTTTAGTTTGATGAGCCACATATGATCAAAAGTTGCTTCTTTATATGGTCAATGCTGTCCTTGACAAAATCCTCTGAGTGAATTCCATCAAAAATATAAAATCAAAGTCTGATTTCCTTAATGTAGTAAACAGAAATATAATTTAGGATTGTGATCATGAATGAACCAACTTGCTTTCCCTAGCAAATACATGTAACTGTAATAGAATCCATTACATTAAAATACCTACAAATACAACATTTTAATACCCCCCCCCCCACACACACACACATGTAATGACAAGAAATCCATATCGAAAGAAGTGAGGGGGGAGGAACTGGGCCAAAACTGAAAGCATGGTATCTCATTAAATAGTTTGATTAATTCTAGATATAACAGCCTTTGATATGATTCAGAATAAAATGTGTCTATGTATGTGCTTTCTAGTCAGTAGTTGACATAAGGTAACCTTAATAATTTAATAGGTTTTTTTAAAGTAAGGAATACTCAGAGGTGTTTTTGCTAGTTCTTTCCTCTGAAATGTAATCTGCAGCACCTGATATTCATTGCCAGTCTCCCATTCAAGCTTCCAAGATCAGACAGAATCTAGTGTCTTTAGGGTATTTAGGTTAAAACTCGGCATGTTTTAAAGACAAGCTATGCCAAATCCGCTATGCCAGAGGCTTCATATAGCTTCTTCATTTTGAAAGAATGTAATTGGGAGCCCCTTTTCCTGGAGCTAAGATATTCTTGACACTGACAAGGGACTTTCATGTCAATGGGGCAGTGTATCCACTCTGCGTTTTACCCTGAACTTCAAAGGAGCTATCAGAGATGCTCAACATATTATGGACATAAGGGAATACAACCAAAACCTATGACAGCATCACCACCCAACTGAACCTGAAATCCCCTAGTTGCTGCTGGTAGTATGTCATGATTATTACTACAATAAACCTGGAAATTAGTCTTTAGGAATGGAGTTTATTGGGGCAGGAAATAAAGTATGCCTTAAGTCATGAGAAGTAGTTGTAATGACATTAAATCAATGAACGCCAAGCAGAACATCCTCATGACAGAATTTCCTGGTTTCAGGATACAGTAATTTATTTACAAACTTACTTACCAAACCCAGAATGCGTGAAGATGTCTGAGGAATAGATTTTGGGGAGGGGAAGATCGGTCTCACTCACTATTGTCGTCTTTGTCTTTCTCTAACTAGAAGTAGAGTGTTTGAAGGGATAAAATAGCAAAGACTACCAATTACCAGTGTTCTTGACAGACTGTCAGAGTGACAGCAGTGAAATCTGTCATGTCCTAATTGTTTAAATAGACATTTTTACTGGACGAAGTAGTTTCAGGAATAAAATCAGGACAGTGATTGAAATGAAAACATGGTCTGCCTCTTCAAGTCTTAGAAAATAGTGTTCTCTCACTCTTGGCTTTGCTTTAATAGCACAAGAATCCTGAATATATTTGGTATACTTCAAGATCCTGCGAAGGCTTGGATTACCTCTGCATGTATTGGGGCTTCTTCCCATTCTTTTGTATGACAGGGACATTGGATTATGGTATCCAGATTCTTTTAATAGCCTCTGTATCCTCCATGGCTGTTTTGGAATTTTCTGTGTTAAATTAGCATCTGGGCTTGAGACAAGGCATTCTAAGGATGTCTTCATCAACTGCATGCTCTGTCTGTGCTTGAATACAGGGGGAAAAAGTTACCGCAAATAGAAAAAAATAAGGCTTCTAAGTGCCCTGTGAATTGTCCCTTAGGATTTGGTGGTAAGGAGAGGGGTAAATATTATTTTACACATTGCACAGGAGCAGAGCCTAGCCTCATAATCTCTTTCAGTATGATAACTGGAAGCCACAACAGAGCTAAGAAATGTTACCATTTTTGGACTGTGACTATCAACATGTTCCAGCCAACCTAGTAGAAAAGTAACTTTGCCAAATGCAGAATTATATCACATAGAACTACAAAACATGTTTCCGATTTACCAGTAAAGTAGGAAAGAGGGGATTTTGAAAAAAAAACTATTGAAAGAAATAGTAACAGCGTTGTTTTAAAATGATGGACGTCATCTCACCACTATTGTTGGGTGGTTAATATATATCGTATTTACTCAAGTATAATGCACACTTTTAAAGTTAAATTGTGTTTTCAAAATCAGTGTGCAGATTTGGCACATTAGACTCATGTTCGCAAACCACATCTGCTCAACTGCATCCACAGCCAACACTTGTAAGGCAATGTTGATTCTCTGTACTGTATTCTTAAGTTCAATGGTAGGAAGGCAGGCCCAGCAGTGTGGGCAGGGGTTTGGGCAGGGGTCAGAAGGGGTGCTTTGGGGGCACCAAAGAGCTCGAGGAACAAAGAATGCCTCATCTGGACTCAAGGGAGAGAGGTAGCCAGCTTCAAGGCTGTTCTACAGAGCTAGCATGAGCTTCTGCCTCCTCCCTTCTCTTGCCTTTCTCTCATCCCTGGTAAAAGCATCACAAGACAGAGAAGGAGAAGGGAGTGGAAGAGAGGAAAGCTGTGTTCTCCTTGGAACAATGCATTCCAAACTCTCTAAAGCGATAGTGCTTTGGAGGTGCAAGTGCATCGTTCTGGACTTGGGTTGACAATGGGCAAAGGGGAGCTATGGGGATGTGGAGTCCCTTTGTGATTCTTGGGGTACCAAGAAGCACAAAGGTTAGATGGTTAGTGCCTCTGCCTCTGAATCCCACTAGCTGGCTGGCTGGGAAGGTGAGATATACCTTCAGAGCACCCAACAGGCGCATAACATTCACCAGCAAATCATTTTCCTCCCTGCCCCAAGGCTTTTGAAAATTGAGGTGCACATTAAAATTAATGCTACCCTATACTTGAGTAAATATGTTAATTAATTTGCAGCTGCTGTATAAAGCAATCCAATGCTTCCCGCTGCTGCAAGAAATTATAATGCTGATTCTAATTACTTAAATGTATCTTTTTTCTTTCTGCTCAAGTTAAACCTGAAATCTCTATTATTCTCAACGAAAACTTCAGAGGAAAGGTAAGTCAATTTGCACCTATGACTGCATGAATCTGGATAAAACAGGATGGGTAGAGAGTAGATTGGGATCTAGTGGTAGATCTCTATGTGATTTTGTTGGACCAACAGAGTTTTGCCTAATGATACCAATAACTATTTAGTGAACAAGGACATTCAGATTGTTGAAATTATGTATACTTGGATGAAATTGAAAACATTTTGCCTGATAGAGTGATGAGCTCACATCTGATAGTGAAAGGAAATCCTCTTGTCCAAGGGTGTGCCCATGGATTTAACCTGGAGGTAAACAACTTTCTTAGCCAGAGTACTTCATCATCCATTTGAAAAAAAGCATAGGCAATAAAAAGGTAAAAGTTTCCCCTTGACATTAAGTCTAGTCATGTTTGACTCTAGCGGTGGTGTTCATCTCCATTTCTAAGAGGAGGAGCCTGCTTTGTTCTTGGCTGGCAAAGTTATGTGGCTGGCATGACTGCATGGAGCACCGTTACCTTCCCACTGAAGTGGTACCTATTGATCTACTCACATTTACATGTTATAGAACTGCTAGATTGGCAGAAGCTGAGGCTAACATATGGAGCTCACCCCGCTCTCCAGATTTGAACTGCTGACCTTTTGGTCAGCAAGTTCAGCAGCTTAGCGGTTTAACCAGGGGTGCCAACATGTAAGGGGTGGCTGATACTAAATCACAAAAATTAAAAACTTTTAGAAGAAAGAAAGCAGTGGCTGATACTAAATCACAAAAATTAAAAACTTTTAGAACAAGCTACCAAAGGAAAATAGTTGTTCTGTTCCATGAGATACTTGGGCCATACCCATTTGCTGTCATCTTTAGATAATCCTCTCTTCGTTTATTTGAGCAAAATTTGATCAGTGCATATGATTGAAGCATTATCCTTTTATCTGTATTGAAAAATATGCTCTCATATTTTAAATGTCTACTTTGGTAGCTTGAGGATGAGTTATTTGCCTCACACATATTGTTATTCCCTCTCATCAATTCTTTCATTCAGTTTTCCACCCAAAGAGAAAAGTGAAATAAATCATTTATGATTAACAGGGAGACTTAATTAACATTGCTCTCAACTACAAAAATGGCTGGAAATGATCATTCCATATCTATACTTTGCACCTCTGACCACATCAAGTTTTAAAACCTCTGTTAGGAAATATTCTATAGGTATAAATGACATGTCTGTTAAGGCAACATGTTTCTTCTTAGCCCATCTCTGTTGAGACTCTTTAGCATTTGCTCTATCTACATTAAATACAGGGTTACTGTGAGCAAATGTGTTCACATCTTAAACTCTGCTTACAGGGGAATAAACCACATCTCTCACCTCCCAGCCCTTAGATTAGCCACTTGTCTGATAGAGGCACAGTGTTGATCACTGTTGTCTGATAGAGGCACAGTGGCTTCATTACATGTGTGAAACTTTTGAAAATCCTCTTGGTGGTTAAAGAGTTTTTTCACAGCAAGAATGGAATATACCCATCATGAATATGAGATTGCACTGTCACCCAGAGGACCTTTTTCATCCACCACCCCTGGACTGTGGAATATTTATTTGTTTGTTTATGCATAAATGCATAAACTGGTAAAAATAGAAGGAGCACAAGTGGTTGAATAACTTTTGACCAAAAACAGTCAACAGCAACCACATTGTCTGTAGCCTCAAAAAATTCTTCCTCAGTACAAGAGGCAGGACATTGTGGACAAGCATACAGATGCAGAGTTGTCTGTTCTGCTCCACAGTCGCACAAGGTGGAGGATTCTTTTAAGTGGTTCCATTTTGCCAGATTGTCTTTTGATCTGCCCACTTCACAGTCTGTTCAGGGACTTCCAAGTCACCCATTCTTGGTTTGTCCCTGGAGGCAGACCCCCGTGGGGGCCCATCCAATTGGGATTTCCTGGTTTAGCTGCCCAGAGGGATACTCTTGTGTTGCTGGGGGAATGCTAAGAGGAGTGGTGGTTCTCATGAAGCTTTTCTTGATTTGAGTCTACTGGAAGGAGACTGATAGCCATACAGTGGATGGCTTTCATAGTGTTCAGCTTTATTTCTCAAACAGCCTGAAATAACTCCCCATTGCACATTGGGGGGGTGGGGGTCAAAGCCAGCTAGCTTATAGAGTCTATCAACAGGTGTAGGTTTGAGACATCCTGTGATTATTCTGCATGTTTCAGTCAATGCCATGTCTATCTGCTTTGCATGGAATGACCTGATGGAAGAGATCCAGCAGCTAAATGAGCTGCCAAAATTAAAGACACAATTAAATACCTTTCTCTTTCAGCAGGACCACCCAGTCAATTTTAAATTATTAATTTTAAATTTACATTCTATTAGTATTGTGTCTTAATCTTTGTACTATGCATTTTCATATATGTATTTTATGGTAATGTGTTTTATCAGGGGGTTTTTAAACTGTGTTCTATCCTGCTGTGAGGAGAGACGGGTAACAAATAATAATAATAATAATAATAATAATAATAATAATAATAATAATAATCACTGTATTCTCTAAAGTGCAGTACCTGTACATTCTAATTCTCAACGGCTGACTAATATATTGTTTTTAATGTAATACAGCTTAGCCCCAATATTTGTACCCAAAATAAGTCTCATTTGGCTAAGGGCTGCAGCTTCAGACTTCAGCTGGCAAAATTGAAATAATATTTATTTTTTAATAGGCTAATTTTACCTGTATGGTAAGGAAGGCATTTCCCAAGCCAAACCTGCACTGGTATATAGGTGGAGAGATCCTTAAGGACAAATCCGAAGGTAAGGCAAATACTGGCCAAAAGGATGTATTGAATATATTATTATTATTATTATTATTATTATTATTGTTATTGTTATTGTTATTGTTATTGTTATTGTTATTGTTATTATTATTATTATTATTATTCACTTTATTTCTATCCCACCTTTTTTCCTGTAGGCGGCTAACAATAATACAACACAACCCAATAAAATTTTAAAACAAGGAAAATACAAAACTGAAAAAACAATTAAATATTTGTGGCATAGGAACAAAAAGTTGAAATATACACTTTTTGAATGCCTGGCTTTAACAATAGAGTATTATACTATATAGGGCTGAGTGTGGGAATATAACAATATGTGTATAATAAGAAATTTTAAAAATAAAAAAATGTGAATCATAATGGGAAAAACATAATGGGAATCATACAGTTATACTCCATGCGATAAATCCTGTTTTAGTGCCAACTACAAATTAATGGGACTTCCTAGCATGTTGCATTCACTTTATGGATCTATTCTGCTTGGTGTTATCTCCATGTTCTAGAAGAGTGGTTCCTAACTTTCTTTGACCAGAGACAATTTTGACCAGGGATCACTTTGACCAAGGATCACTTGATAAACAGGGATCACTTGAAGAGGGACAACTTTGACCAGGGACCACTCTCCAACATTAGTACCAAAAGGGTTATGAATCAGTTTTTGGTCAACCTTAGATTTGTTTTGGTTATTTGGGGTGCTGATTCAGAAAATTGCATTGGATAGACCACATCAGCTCTAGTTTCTGATACAGAATATATGCCATCCAGTAGTCCCCATCTGCTCGCACGCCAAAAACCATATTTAATAATCTAGAGCTGATGTGGTCTATCCAATGCAATTTTCTGAATAGCACCCCAAATAACACCAGGAACAGGCCTAAAAATGAAGAAACCAAGGTGCCCCTTCTTCTAGGTGCCAAATGGAAGGGCTCCATTCTGGGGGGGAGGGGGGGGGGAGGAGAAGCAGCAGCAGTCAGGAGGCTTGTTGTCACACCTTATAATGCCTCAGCACTATAAAAGGATTTTGCGAGACCAGTTGCTATCATTGCAACGGTGTAGTAATGGTGAGACCCAGACCATATTTTAGTTCTTGGGGATCACTGGTGGCCCACAGACCACAGGTTGGGAACCATTATTCTAGAGAGTTGTGATAAATAACATTGTGGGGGGGGGGGGGCTCTAAATGTTGGAAACCACAACTCCAGTTGTAGGGGATGTTCAGAAATAGGAGTTGGAGTCCAACATCTGAAGAAGCACAGGTCTCCCCAGGTGACTAACCTGAAACAATATATCCTCTGACATCCTCTGCCATTCCCCATTGTTTGTCTCATTCACATGATAAGCTTGCAGGCAGGTTTTGTGTTGGTTTAATGGCAATTATTGTACAGCATCCGATCTCTTAAAGCACTTCTTAAATAATGCATTTTTGATCTTATTAAATTCTGATAGTATGACTTTTTTATTTGGCTTTCATTTCAACTGCTTTTTCGAAGTCGTAACAGAATATTCCTCCTGCATTTTTCCACTACCAAAAGGCATATTCTTGGAAAATGAAGAACCAAAAGCTGCAGGAGGTTTTTTTGAGATGAGATCACTACTGACAATATGGAACACAGCTCAATTACCCATCAATCAGAGTTTCAAATGCATGTCTGTCTACCATTTCCCTGGAAATCAAACACAGAATGTCTCATCTGAAGAAGTTGTACTTTCTTATGGTGAGTTAACATACCAGTTACCTGAAATCCAAAGGCACATATGTTTGGCTTAACTGAACAATTTCATCATCAAAATGGCAGTGTTCAGCAATGTTCTAATATAATCCATTGTCTCCAGAAGTCATAAAAGTAGCAGAATATCATCAGATTAAATAAACATGTCTCTGGTGTATTTTATTTTAGTTTGTTATTTTTAAATATTGAAATTATAGTTAATATGGTATTTTAATATATATTTCAAGACTGAACACTGAGTGAAGACCAAAATGGCTTGGCATCTTCATACTTGAAGGTGTGCCTCTCCATTTGTGTGCCTTCACCAGGATTGAGGTCTGTGGAGGAGACTCCTCTGTGCATAAAATTGTTTTATGACAATGTATTTTTTACCTACAGGAGTCAAATAAAACTAGATAGTTCATCTGGGGCAGCAATTCTTTTTTTCCAGTAGGGTTTTAATCTACAGATTTGGCATTCATATCTTCAACTTCTCAAAATCCATAATTTTGGCCCCAAAACCTGCTCTTGACTTATATATGAGGTCACCTTATACATGATTATATAGTAAATTCAACCAATCTGTGATAATCTGTTAGTCATTATACAGCCATGTTACCCAAAAAAGTCTCAGTCTCAAAGTATGATTTGCTCCTGACCTGGTATACCAAGAACATGTTTGCTCATTTCATTTCAGGTAATTCTTCTTTTTAACAGGGTTACAGGAGACAACTTTAAAATCTATCAAACCCAGTAGGCCTGTTTCTCCAATTTTAGAGTCCTCTACAAGAAGTAAGTGTTGTTTATTCTTATGAAATATTTGCTATGCTTTTCTGGAAAAAACAATGGTAAAGCATCAGAAATGACAACTGTACTCTAATAATAACAATAACAACAATAAAATAATAACTTTATTCTTATATCCTGCCACCATCTCCCCGAAGGGACTTGGGACATATTTCAAATGGCACAAAGTGCCTAAAAACAAACATAAAATTGAACATAATGTAAAATACAATACAATAAAATATATATTTTATTTTTATATAAAAATATATAAAAACATATATAAAAACATCAATTCTGACTCAATAATCAAACTGCGATCCACTAACTGTGATGGTAAATTACTGTAACCATGGCCGGGCCTTAACATTGGAATAAAATAAGTGCCAGCTGCAGTAATAGAAAGAGGGCATAGGATAAAGTGCAGGATGTGTGACTACTACATAGGACAACAAGGGGCTAAATATTCTCAAAGGCTTGATTGAAGAGCTATGTCTACTCTAATCTTGCTATTACAGCCTTCGCTACCTTAATACTGCTAGAAACTTTGTAAATGAAATGCATTTAATATACGCCATTTTGCAGAAGTTTCCACCACCAGCCCTTTGACCTTTGTGCATTTTGTTATGTTACAGGCCAGAGCGGGAATTAATTTAATTAGCATTGCATAGAAATACTCAGCACTTAAAGGTGTAAAATGTTGTTATTGTGGCACAACAGTTTAAGCACTTCATAGAAACACATTTGGTAGCAGTTTCAGCTGTGAAGTCTCTATCAGGAGTGTTCACCTGGCTCTTGCCATTTTTGACCACTCTTCTTGGCAAAAGTGCTCCAGTTTTGGCAGGTTGGAAGAGGGTCATTAGTGAACACCAACTTTCAAGTGTTGCCAACAAATATCAGTTGACTGAATATTATTGAGCCCTACAAAATTCAGATTATAATTTTTAAACAAATTCAATGTTATTCTGTGTGTTCTCCTGCTGAAAAGTGGACCTCTGCCCATCTCAGCTTCCTTCCAGTTTAAAGCAGATTTTTTCCTAAATTGTCCTGTACATTTCTCCATCCATCATGCTCTAAATCCTGATGAGGTTTCCAGACTCTGCTATGAAAAATCATACTTGCAACATGATGTTGCAATCACCATGATTCACAATAGGGGTGGTGGTCCCACAGAGTAATGAATGCTGATGAGCTAAAAGTTCAGTTTTCAGATCACAGGAACTTTGTTTTCATGTCTCCCAAATTCCTATTGCAAACTCCGAATGGGCTTTGATGTGAGTTTATTTTGTCAATAACTTTCTTTTCACCACATTTCCATAAGACTTAGTTTGTAGAGAATCCACTAGTGCATCTATACATGCAGTTTAACACTACTTTAACTGTCATGTCTGAATACTATGGAAACATGGGAGTTTTGACACAGAAGGCTGAAGACCTTGTAAAACTACAACTTCAATTATTAGATGCCATAGGGCCATCACAATTTAATTGGTGTCAAACTGCCTTAATTCTGCTGTGCAGAATTGTCCAATGTATAGTTTTTGAAAAGACAATCATGCTGGGGAAAATGGAAGGAAAAAAGGAAGGGGGGCTGACCAAGGGCAAGATGGATGGATGGTATCCTTGAAATGACTGGCTTGACTCTGAAGGAGCTGGGGATGGTGACGGCTGACAGGGAGCTGTGGGGTGGCCTGGTCTATGAGGTCACAAAGATTGGAAGCGACTGAACGAATAAACAATAGTTTCTGCCATATTAGCTATGGATGTCTCCATTTCCTTCATAGTTACCACTGGCAACTTTTAAGTATCCCCTTTCTTATGACTCAAGATTGTATCTAAGGAAAAGACATTGTTGTAACCAAGAGTTGACATCACTGTCACTGTGTGGTCCTGCCACTACATGGTCCTACTGCCCTACATTACATCTTCCACCCACTATACTGTCTCTTCCAGAAAACAAGGAGGAAGGGAAACAAGGAACTGTGCCTTGATTTTTCCAGCTCTGCCCCATCTCCCTGCACATATGTTTTTCTCCTCATTTCTCCTTCATGACAGGTCATAGATTCAAGGAAAGGTTAACCCTCTTCTATTTGTAGCAATTTTTACAGATCGCTAATGTGCATAATATCTCATTTTTCAACATAAAATAAACAGGAAAAAGACATGACTATACTGGTAGTGAGTGATGTGAGTTCATGACGACTAAGTGCTGCAGCCAAAAGGGAATGCAATTTGAGCTGATACTTAAAATATGCCCCAAATCCATCTTTCCTGGGAGTCATTGTACACATGTAAAATTACATTAGAAGCTATAGTGGGGCCAGATGGAGTACAGAGTCAGCTGTTTACTGACCATTTGTCTTGAGGTGGCTCCAATTTCCTTATAGGACACAGTATATCAGAGTGATAGCATTTAATCTAAATGACAGAGAGGGCGTACTCTTATTTATTTATTTCCTTCTTTAGCTAAGGATCAGTTATTCCTTATATTTTTATGCTGTGTTTAGCTTTATGGAGTGTTCGCATATATTGTTTCAGCAACTTTTCTTTAGCTCTTTCATTAATGCTTATCAAGGAGTGATAAGGGCACCAGGGACCATTCAAAATGATGTATGTATGTATTCTAAATACATAATAAGTCATGAACCTGGACATACACACAATACATTTCAAGTAAGGGCTGGTTCTAGCTCACCTCAATCCCATTTTTTGTTTGTTGGTACAGAAACTACATATGCATACAGAAAAAAGATACCCACAATTCAATAAAGCTCATCAAAAATATATCTGCTTGGTTCAAGGAATCTCTCTCTAATTGAAGTCAATAGGACAGAGAGAAGAAACAAGTGACCCTCCAAGTTGTGTGGGACTTCAGCTTTCATTATCCTTTCTCATCAAGTATGTTGGGTAGGATTGATGGGAATTGCTGTCAAGTGACATCTAAAGGGCCACATGTATCCCCCTCCTGGGACAAAGACAGGCAAAGACTTTTTACAACAAAGACAGGCTCCAAGCATCTTTTTACAGTTATGTTGCTGTTTTATATGTTTATGTATTGTTGTTATGTATGGCACTTGAAGTGCTTTTGTTAGCCGTCCCAAGTTCCTTTGGGGAAATGGTGATGGAGAATAAATAAAGATGATGATAATGGTGGTGATGGTGATGATGATCTCGCTAGCTATTGAAAAAACTTTTATTCAGGAATGCTGTAATTGGCCTTCTCTTCCAACAGCCAATATTTTAAATTGTTTTTAATGTCATACTATTTAATTCTGTCTTATTATTTATAGTGGCTGTAGTTGTGTAGATCTTTTAATCAGATCGTGAGCCTATATTGGGTCCCAATAGTGACAGGCAAGAAGAACATAAAATAAATGAGGAGTTCAACTCACTCAGTTTGTTCACACTACAGCACTTGCGAGGCTCTGGATCATAGTCATGGTTCATAAATGTCATCTTGATTGCACAGTGATTTTGATACTCTTTTCTGTCTGACAAATCCCCTCTGCCTGAATGAATAAACAAGTCACTTCCATTTGCCCTTGTCACCTCCCTTGTAAAAGTTTTCCATTCAGCTTTACCCTGTGATAAATCAAGAGACAGTTGTTAAGTGATTAGCTTCTATAGGAACATCCTTTGTGTGTATAGCAGTGACAGACACTTGGACACTGAGTGCTAATCGTTGTGTGTCTCTTCTTCTTAAACTGGTGTCAAAGATCTACTTTTTGTCTACATCAAAAATCCTAATAGAGTTTCCATGTTTCTGTAGAGATGTCTGAAATAAGGCTTTTGGTGTATTTCTTTTTTTTTTAATGTCCAGACTTGACCAACTTACAGTGTCTTGAAATATTTGATCTTGACTCCATTCATTCCAAATTTTTGAGTAAATTAAGAATTACGAGGCAGAATGCTTTACAAGGGAAATGTGCCCCTTTGCGCCTTCAAAACATGAGTTTCAAAAAACTGGATGAAAAGATATTAAGGGCCAAGGGGAAAGAATCCTAGTTCAGGGCAAAGCTTGGAAAGTCACTTTTTTCACCACAAAAAAGATCATGCTGACTGGAGTGGGGTGAGCGAAATGGGAGGTATAGTCTAAGGAGAAACAGTTTGGGGCTCTGGTCCAAATGCAACTAGAACAGTGTTTCACAACCTTCTTAGTACCACAACCCCTTAATACTGTTCCTCATGTTGTGGTGATCCCCAACCATAAAATTATTTTCGTTACTACTTCATAACTATAATTTTGCTACTGTTATGAATCGTAATGCAAATATCTGATGTGCAGGATGTATTTTCATTCACTGGACCAAATTTGGCACAAATACCCAGTACACTCAAATTTGAATACTGGTGGGATTGTGACTTGGGATTTATAGTTGTTGGATTTATAGTCAACCTACAATCAAAGAGCATTCTGAACACCAATGGTAGAATAAAACCAAACCCAGAACACAGAACTCCCATGACCAACAGAAAATACTGGAAGGGTTTGGTAGGCATTGACCTTGAGTTTTGGTATTGTAGTTCACCTATATCCAGAGAATACTGTGGACTCAAAGAATGATAGGTCTGGACCAAACTTGGCATGAATACTCAATATGCCCAAATGTGAACACTGTTGGAGTTTGGGGGAAATATACCTTGACATTTGGCAGTTGTAGTTGCTGGGATTTATAGTTCACCTACAAAGAACATTCTGAACCCCACCAACAATAGAATTGGGCCAAACTTCCCACACAGAGCCCCCATGCCTTGAAGGGACTCACTGGCATGAACCTCCCTCCAGCCTCACACACTCTTCTCGCTTGCACATGCAAACCATGCTGCTATGCGCCAAGCACACCCTTCCTCCCTTGAAGTCTCAAAAACAGCCCTCCCCTTGGCTGAGAGGCTGGCTAATCATAGTGCAGGAGGGCTTTTGGTGGCAGGATACACCATCTATTTCCACAAAGGAAGAGAAGGACAAGCAGAGAGATCTTCAGCCTTTTCTGCCAAAGGGGTTCCTAAGACCATCAGAAATATATGTTTTCTGATGGTCTTTGGTGACCCCCAGGTTGAGAAACATTGAACTTGAATAAAGAAGGATCAAAGGCTAATGATATAAATGAAGTATTGAAGAGATAATATGGAAAGCTCAAAGAGAGAGGTGAAGGGTGATAAAATAGGAGCAAAAGAAGTTAAAGTGATTTGGAAGCAAAGAGGGTTACTACTTCCCTATCATCTTGGGTGTAGCTACTGTTCTGGCTTGGAAAGAGAAAAAATTCAGTGAAATGTTTCTCATGTGTACTTTCTCTCTGGGATTTAAATTGCCCAACATCCCCATACTTTTCTTCACTTTTCAAGTTGTAGCTTTTGTAAAGTCCGATCTGAAACCTGCACATTAGTTTTGTCTCTCTGCAAAGCATTGTTCTTTTCTTTTAAGAAAGATCTTAGAAATACTTTTATCCTTTCCACAGAACCCTAGCATTCCACTAAAGACTTAGGAAATAAGACCCTGGTCAAGTTCTCCAGTTTCTCTCCAGTGCTACAAAGTAATATATACATGCTTTTAGATTGCTTTGATCTGGTTTTGTGATAGGATCTCATTAGTTCCCAAAACGCATGAAAGAGAGTGGTTGAGAAGTATCAGAAAGATGAGAAAATATTCCTTTGCTTATGCTCTCAGAGGAGGAGGATGGAGAAGTTAACAATTGAATTAAGTAACTGATAGTGATCTTCCTAGAGTTTCATGAAAGTTGTCAAGTACTGAAGTTTGAGATATGAGAGAAGAGCAGTTGTAAGGGCACAGGATTACAAAGTAGTGATAAACGTGTCTCGTGTAAGGATGAAATGCTTCTGAAGTTTTGAAAAATTGTTGTACTAGCTACAGGGAGATGAAGGTTATCCCATTGTAGGTTGTATTATTTGGACCATGATTGCTACTTTCACTGGTACCATTGCAACAAGTCAAACACAAAGCCTTTTTTGTCAATTTGGTAACCTTTCGGGACATGTGAGATCATAACAGCATATTCTAGCAGTTTGCATGTCCCTTGGCTGCTGCAGACTCTCCAGACTGTCCATTTTCTGGCCAAATGAAGGATGAATTGCCACCCAAAATAGCAATAAATCTTTTTTGAAAGGTTTCAGCTCCCAACCTCACAAACAGAATGAAATAAATTAAAAAACACCTCTTTTCCAAAACAGGAGTTGACTTATACCATTTCTAGATTTTCAAAGATTGAGAAGCATTTTGATATCCCTATGGAGGGTCTTGGGACCCTTCACAGTTGACCACTTCATCCTCATAGGGTCTGCTTAATTCTTCCGTGACTTATGAGGATTTTGAGTCTGAAAGCTGAACTCCCTTTTCATAGCACTGTAGAAAGAGGCTTCACCTATTGTTTTAAACTTTAAAGACAACAGCAGTGAAACACAATCAAGGTTTGGATGCAGTTGATCCAATTTTCCCCTGATTTTTTCCCCAATACTATCTAGAATTAAACTGGATGACAAGTTGCTCCCAGGAACTATTTCAGTGGCAAGTGCACAGGGACACACAACATCTCCATCCATGGAGACTGAAAGTGCTAGATCTTTGTTTTCCACGTTTCAGTGCTCAGACTGAGATAATTTTATTTGTATTGCTGCCTGGAAAGGTCCTCAGTCATTATTCTTGGAAGAATCTAACCAGTGACCTAAGGGTTAATGTCTGCTATTCGCAATTACAGTTCTTTTAACACAATCATTTCCCATGTCTAACACGTTTAACTGGTTGCTGCTGTTTCAGGTACCGGATGCTTGCTTGACTTACAAGCTGTGAAAGGCTATTCCCTTGACAAGTCATTCTGTCTCTAATGGTTCACACACATCACACACACAATTAGGATCAAACCAATGCATATTGATTGCTCATTCCCAAACAGTTTCTGACACATGTTTCTGTCCATTAGAAGTGTTGGATGAAGCACAAAGTGGTGGCTCTGTTTTCTGACAAAAATACTGCCTTTCTCCTCTTTCTGCCAAGCAGCGGAAAAGAGATTACATTTCCACATATCTTCCCCCCTGAGATTCAAACTCTGAAAGTGTTCATCCTTTTAATGCAGGAGAAAGGCATACACATTCTCCCACAAATATTACAGAAGTCTGAAAAGAAGGTATACAAATATCATAGACTGTTTAAGCTTAACACAAACATTTACCTCATGCAGAAAGCTAAAGTAATGAAGGGGTATGAATATAACATATACTCAATACATTCTTTACACATAAGAAAAGCAGCTGGTAAATAGTAAATGGTGAACCTTTGCTGGCTGTTGTACACTAATGTGGATGTTTCATTTAGATTTATGTTATTATAGAATTTTATCTGACTACATGTAGTTTAATTTATTGATGTCAGGTTTAATTTACTGATGTTAGATTTTAATTTGATGTTAGGTTTTAATGTTACTTTCATATGTGGGGTTTTTCTGGGATTTTATGTTACTATTGTGTGTTTAATGTAGGCATTAAATGTTTGCCATTGTTATGTTGAAATCTGCCCTGAGTCCCCTCGGGGAGATAGGGTGGAATAGAAATAAAGTTTCATTATTATTTATTATAGTATGATGTCAGAATAAATGGATTCAACTCCTGTTGTATCTTACTTTGTTATTATTGTTATTGCCATTAATCTTTATTCATAGCTCACCCTTTCTCCAAAACTGGGACCCATTGCAACTCATAAATAAAAATGAGCAATGTCCACAAGCCCTTACCAGGGGCTGCAGGGGGGCATTTCCAACCCATCCTATTTTAGCTCCTTCTGGGCAATTTTAAGCAAAGAAGAAGCCATTTCTTTAACATCATGAAGTGACCAGAAGTAATTTTCAGTTTGTGTTTTTTCAAGTTGCCTGTCAGCTTTTTGCAACCTTATGAATTTCATGAGGTTTTATTAGACAAGGAAAACTCAGAGGTGTTTTTGCTAATTCCATCCAAGTACTAACTAGAGCTTAACTTCCAAGATCAGATCTAGTGTCTTCCTGTTTGCTTCTGCTTTTTTTAAAAAAATGTATCTTCTGGACCAAAAGTGACCCACAGGGGAAAATGTGTAGGGAATATTTGGATGCCAAAAAATGAATATTTTTCACTTTCCTGGAGCAACAAAAGCAATCACTGGGGCCTCATACTACTCATGGGATGCACTTTGATCACCCATGAGCTAGATTTTTTTATTGTGTCAGAAGTGACTTGAGAACATACTGCAAGTTGCTCTTGGTGTGAGAGAGTTGGCCATCTACAGGGGTGTTGCCCAGGGAACAGCTGGATGTGTTATCATCCTTCTTGGAGGCTTCTCCCATGCTAAAGCTAACAGATGGAAGCTCACCCCATCTTGCAGATTCGAACCAGAAACCTTCAGGTCAGCAACCCAACTTTCAGGTCAGCAGTCCAGCCGGCACGAGGGTTTAAGCCATTGTGCCACTGAGGCTCTATAAACTAGATAATAATAATCTCTTACAAATTATTCTAAAAATAAACACACACGTCACTAACATATGTCATTAAAAGTTCATAGAAATACATGTCACTAGAATATATCACTAAAGGTTTTTTTTAAAGTGATTTGCATTTTTTATTGTTAGATTTGTTGGGCATTTGTCTTGGTGGATATACTCATAGAAAATAGTTTTAATGTGGTGGAACCCATCACATTAAAACTTCAGAAAATTGTCACTGTAACATAATGCAGCATTTTTTTCTTTCCAATTTTTCCAGGAATGCTATCAACTGAAGAAATGACTGAAAAAAGTATACTAACTATTCCTGATTCTTTACTCACTGCAAAGAATTGGTTGAACAGTACTGGTGAGCCACTGCTGCCTTAAACCGATTTTTTTTTAAAAAAAAACCCTAAAATTCAGTAAAATGCAGTTATTTTAAATATGCTTTTGCTTTTGTTTGGCAATTATTGCTTAGTGGACTTTTTACAATGAATATGTACAGTGAAAATGTAACTAATTAGATAAATAAGATCTGGATCAACACAGCGAACATTTCAGAATACTAAAATCAAGTCATGGCAATGAGTTACATGCTTTTTCTTTTTCTTTCCAGGAAATCTACCCACTAAAAAAGTGGTTGAACAAACCACAATGAGTAGCTCTGATAATTCACCCACTTTAAAAGGCCTCTTCGATAGCAATGGTAAGTACTATAATTGTGAATTTAATTGCCATAAATTGAAAGCTGGTGTTTTAAGACTAAACTCCAATTCCATGAGCTATGATACTGTTTAATATTTTATTTCCAAAGTTGATGTGTACTGAGAAATTGTAAATAATTACATAAATAAATCATAGTGGTAACCATTGTTAATAGTTCTGATTGCTAATATTTCATAGTACTAATATCAAGCCTGTATATTGAGTGTTCCCCTATGCGTAAAGCTATCTGCCAAAGGTGTGGCTGAATTACATTGGTTAATCCTGATAAGTCATACTATTTAAAGAGGTGTTTTAATATTAGGAGGTCTTTATTTCTTTGAAAGATTTACCTTCATGTAACCATTTCATTTTGACTCTGAGCTATAAATCTTTCCTTGCATTGAAACATTGGTAGTCCTATACTGATCTCTTTAATGCGGAATTTATGGGAGCACTTTCCTCCAACTATTCTGAGTGTTTGCAAATTTGAGAGTTTGGTTATGTTAAAATGACCTTCTGACCACATACACCAAATGGATGGAAATAGGAGTGGATTGTGGATGGTGACCCAAATGTGATAGTTTCAATAAACCAGACTCTAACATCTGTATGTTCGGGCCAGGAGGTATATAGGTAGCTATGGAAATGACTTGACTCAGTCAAACTTATTATATCCTTAGGGACTCAGACAAATTCAGGGATTTTTTTTTTTTTGCGTCAGGAGTGACTTGAGGAACTGCAACTCACTTCTGGTGTGAGAGAATTGACCATCTGCAAGGATGTTGCCCAGAGGATGCCTGGATATCTGATGTTTTTTCCATCTTGTGGGAGGATTCTTTCATGAGACGGGAGCTCACCCCACTCACTGGATTCGAACCTAATAATAATAATAATAATAATAATAATAATAATAATAATCTTTATTTATATCACTATCTCCTTAAAGGAACTCCCCAAGTTTCGATCAAGATAGGTTTTGTAGATTTGTTCTTAAGTTGAATTTGTATGTAAGTTGAAACAGGTACATTTTTAAGTGTAACTCCAGCCAAATGTGTGTGTGTGTGTGTAAGCTTTGTATAGCATAGGAAATGGTTATCACCCCTGGGGTGTTTCTTTTGCTGTTTGTGCCCCTGTTCAGAAGATTTCACCACTTTCTGTCCCTGTGATAATTGGATTTTTTTTTTAAAAAAAAGCTTGTTGTGGAAACAAGGATTGGTGATAAAACTTCAATGGAGACACCTTTTCCACATGGTAACTCTTTCAAGAGTGAATATCCCTTCCTAGTGGTAGATTTTTCTCACTTTCTGTTATCTCAACCCTGTTCTTAACTATGAGTCATTTGTAAATTGGATGTTTGTAACTCAGGACAGCCTATAAATGCTTGAAAAATGCACAACAAGAAACTGTGATGAGAAAATACCTAGCCTGATGAGAAACTTCATACTTTTGGAAGTACTGTACACAAAACTTCCTTATGGCTCCTTTGCAAAGAAAAAGAGCATTTTGGTGCATAGAAATAAATTTTTCTTTGTAAAAAAATACTGCAGTTGAGGACTTACTCAATGCAAAATTTGAATGTAGTTATTTGTAGAGGAAAGAGTGAACTGTACAGAATTGCAGTACCTTGAATCCTGTACAGAAAGAAAAAAGAGGGATATAAAAATAATATATTAATATAATATAAATATTTCTGTGCAGAATTATTCTTTCCAGATTAAGATTGTTTCAGCAGTCCAAAATCTGGCTTGTGTGTGTGTTTGTGTATGTGTGTGTGTGTGAGAGAGAGAATAATTCAGAATTAAGAATTATTTTGACTCAAATTTAAAAGCTTCTGGCTCCTATATCTTGGTATTTATTTCCCCAAAGAAAATATATCAGTCTTAGCCTCCTGTTTACACCAGGCAGCTAGCTTGTGTATTTCCTTTTGTTCTACTTTTTATAATGACTGGACTATGCTGTAAAAGTTCATTAAACTTGTGACATTGTTGCTGTAGTCATTTTATTTTTGCACTCTGTACTCTGTTGGGCAGAAACCTTACCCTACTGAGGCACAAGCAATGCAAGGCAATATTAGAAGGTAGTATAAAAAAAAACCCAGAAGAGAACAGAGAGACAGAAGCAAGTGAAAAAGAGGCAGGAAGTAGAACAATTGGGAAAGGGAATTTTGGATAACCAATGTCCCATTGCTTTCTACTAACCTACATATATGCTCTTCATCACTCTGCATAAAGACTGAAGCAACGCAGGATGTGGTTGCCCATACTCTGAACAGGGCTAGTTGGTGGTCATGTGTATCTGTTTTCGGTTGCCTGTTGGGGAGAATGCAAGATGCTGGTTTGGCCTTTAAAGGTGCACATACCGTGAGAAAGTTGCATGCTTAGGGACAGGTTGCTCTCACAATCTGCAGTTCTACAAGAGGAACTGTGCTTTCCCAAACCTGAGCACCTTTTTGTGAAGCAACACAGAAATTGTTCTGCCAATTTTTGGATTTTAAGATACTATCAATTGTAAGATGCACACTAATGTTATTACCACTACTGACAAAAAAAAACCATAAAAGATACCTGTGATTCTATATAAGGGAAAATGTGTGCCTTGGAATCAAGGAAATACAGTGATTTATATCATCAAAGTAGCTTTTCCTTTGTTAGTGGCTCTAAACTAAAAGTGATTCTTTCTAACTCCCCAACAGCATAATTCAGGGGGTTGTCATTAATGTTTGCCTCCTTGCAAGTGCATTTTTTAGCAAAACAATGAAAATACAGACTGATTACACTGAAATAACAATCAACTCAAGCAAGAAATAGTCTTGCTATCTTGAAAAGCAAATTTAAAGTAATAAATATAATACTGCAAAACTGAGTAGATGAAAATATCGACATATTTCCATCTTCTCAGTTTTGCAATATTTTACATGATATATTAAATGTAGATTCTTATTAAATTAATGCAAAAGTGTCTGTAAGATCTCCAGTCACATCCATTCATCTACAGGCAGTCCCCAAGTTACAAGCATCCAACTTACAAATGACTCATAGTTAAGAATGGGGGGTGAGGCAACAGGAAGTGAGAGAAATCTACTCTTAGGAAGAGAAATTCACCCTTGAAAGAGTCATCATGGGGAAAAGGGGCCTCCACTGAAGCTTTAGCACCAGTGGGTACAGACAGCAAAACAAACACCACAGGAATGTTTACCTTTCCATATGCTATCCAAAACTTTCTCTCTCTCTCTCTCTCTCTCTCTCTCTCTCTCTCTCTCTCTCTCTATATATATATATATATATATATATATATATATATATATATATTCTGGTTGGAGTTACACTTAAAATGTACCTGTTCCAACTTATCCAGTTATCTATCCGAATGCATCTCTCCCTATGACCCTTCTAGGAAATTAAGATCATCTGAGGAGACACTGCTCTCAATCCTGCCTGCCTCACAGGCACATCTGGCGGGGACGAGAGACAAAGCCTTCTCAGTGATGGCACCTCGGCTGTGGAACTCCCTGCCCAGGGATATTAGATTGGCCCCCTCCCTCCTGACTTTCTGGAAAACATTGAAAAATTGGCTCTTTCAGCAAGCATTTGGAACTTCAGCGTGACCAGATAAACTCAAATTGGAGTATGAACACAGAACGGCTAAGATGATGTAAACGGATGAGGAATTGAACTGGGAGAAAGTGTTTTTATAGATTCTTATAATTTTTTACTGCTTCTATGGTTTTTATATGTATTTGTGGTGTGATTTAATTGCTTTTAACTGATATGTGTGTGTGTGTGTGTGTGTGTGTGTGTGTGTGTATGGCTTCAAATTGTTGCCAGTCTATACACCGCCCTGAGTCACCTTCGGGCTGAAATGGGTAGGATAAAAATGGTGTAAATAAATAAATAAATATAAATTCAAATAAATAACAAACCTATTGAACCTATCTTGTTAATAACTTGGGGATTGCCTGTATCCAAAAGAAAAAGTTGTGATGATATGTTAGAATATACTGTATGACACTCAGTGTGCATTTCAAAGTACAGTATGTATTTCAAAGCCCCTCCATGTGTTCAGTGGTCCAATTGTCCTGATTGTTTGGAGGCTAAGCCCCCAGTGTAGTCTCAAGAGGAGATTGAGTCATTCTGAATCCTCATTCCAAAATCCATGAAACTACTGCACAATTTGTTTGAGACACAGCTCACATGTACACAAGAAGTACTGACAAATTTACCAGACTAGAAAGTAGATGGGATGACAGTTTCAAGCTTGTTAATTGCTTTTGAATGAGATGCCTTTAATTCACTGTGTTTTTCCCCCAGGCACTGCAACAAGTCCAAAACATACACATTTCTCCTGGCCAGCGGTTGTAGCTGCTCTGCTTTTCTTCTGCACATTTTTTATCATTCTGGGAATCAGAAAATGGTGTCAGTATCAAAAGGAAATGTAAGTATATACATATGCTTAGAATATTTTACACTCCAATATAAATTGTTCCATTATGAAGCAATGCCATGAAACAGTATTGAATTGTAGATCATTTTATTTGGTTGGAATGTATCTGCATTTTTGAAATGGTTGAAGCCGAATTCTATATGTCTTCGGTGGAACACAAGGCATTAAAATAAAAATAATATAGGTCTCCAAAACAAAGGGGAAAATGTATATCCATGAGTAAGAGGTCCACAATTGGGCAATCCACTGAATAAATCCATTTTAAATGCCATATAACTATGCAATCATTTAGACTTTCCACAATATGTAATATTTCAGCAGCCTATCTGTCATCAAAAGAGGGGATGCATAAAAGAAACAGGAAAGTCCAAATACTGCATCCAAGAAGTCAGTAGTTAAAGTCAGTTTCTTGATGGAGATTGCAGATTAAGTAGAGCTATTTGGACAAACCTCAGTGTGTGTGTATACACACACACAAATTAGATGACTTGCTTCTGTTTCTGAAACTGGCTGCAACTCAGATTTCTTTGCCTTGGGTATAAAATTAGGATTATCTGTACTAGTTTCTACTAGTTATATCCCAAGAAAAATGGAAGATAATATCAATCATACTGGATTAACCGTAGACTAATTTTCTCAGACACAACCATCATCTCAGATTACTTATTAAACATGGCAACAAGAACAAAATGATTTTTCTTGCTGGCATTCTCACTGACTTTTACAATCTTTTATGTAGCTACACATAGATTGAGGTGTAATGCATCTCACTCAAGCAGTGCCAGCTCTTGTCAGCTGTAATGCAGTTTGACATTTCACATAAAATAGACTGCATGATAACATGGACAGAAACCATGTACAATCATTCTAGTTTAGTAATAAGGATGTACCATAATCTCACTTTGAAACTCTTCACACAGGGATTTGTGCCCCTTTTGCAGCTTTTATTTGCAGCAAGGCCTGCAGTTCACCATCACATGATGCATGGCAGACCCCGCCCACATTTGTGCCAAAGTGGAGGGGAAGCTCCAGAAGGTGCTTTCTCCACCACTACAGAGAGTAAAATGTAGTTTGGGCAGCTACGATGGAGCTACCTACATTTTCTTCCTCTTTTTGCCGTATGATGGCAAAAAGGGCAATAGGGCAACATGCATTGCCATTCATTGCTGCTCTGCCATCTGATGGGGGAGGGTGCTAACATGCCCTGTCCTGTCCCCACAGTATGATGGAGGAAGGAGGGAGGGCACGTGGGGTCCCATGAGCAGCCCCACATGCCTTCTCTTTTGTAGCACAGTGGCATGGCCCGATAGGGCCATGTGAAGAGGTCCTTGGGCCATTAATATGTTTTAAAATGTTATCTGGTATAGTATATTATTTTGCATATTCACTTGCATAATTAGGGCAATCACTTGCACTTAGTAAAATGATTTTTTGCACTAGAGGTTGGGTAGGGCATTACACAAGACCTTGTACAACTGCTGATTCAATATGTTGTGCAATAAAACTATGCTAACTTCTTGGTTAAATTCAGTGACATAATAATTGTGCATAGCTTCTTTCTCCTACTGTTTCAATAAGAAATTTTGAGGAGTTTAGATGGTTTCCCAATGCATTATATAGCCTCATCACATCTCTGACTTATCTATCTTTGAGGCATTTGCCTTTTTAAAATGACTTCCTTTTTTAATTTTGTCTACTTTTGTATTGATATTTTACATGATGATTACTTTATATTGCATTTTTAAATGAAATGCTGTTTCCATTTTAGTATGAACAGACCACCATCTTTCAAGCCACCACCACCTCCCATTAAGTATACTGCTATGCCAATAAGTTACGCAACCTGCAATCAACTGGAAAATCTTTAATGGACCTGAAGTGTTCTGGCCTAATAATGAATTCTTTTACTGTATGTCTTTTATAATAGATTGCAAGAGTTCCAAAGCAGTGACCCATATTCCAATTTAGACTGCTTAATCTTGCATTATTGCCGGGAACACAGTTTCCCTAAGTACGCTTACTCAGGACAATTTACCTCCTGCAGTCAACTGATGTAGTGAAGCTAAACATATCTCATATTACAGGCACTCAGCCTGAGTTCTGTGATCAAGAAGGAATTGATGTAATTAGTTTTGTCTATCTAGAAAAGATGTTATTTAAAGTTCCTAGTTACTCTCAAGAATGTATTTTTCTCCATGTTTATTTCCTAACTATTTAAATAAACTAGTTGCGTCCAACTTCTGTGTTTTCAAGGGTTGACCTGTTCTTCCCATTCTTGGGCATAATTAGCAACAAAACTGGCACATGCTTCAGATATTTACATTTACTGAGTTAGAGAACCAACATAGTATAATCGTTTGACTCTGGAAGACCAAGGTCTGAATCCCCATTCAGCCATAAAACCTGCTGGAGAAATTGGGCAAGTCAGACTATGTCTCAGCCCCAGAAGAAGGCAAAGCAAACATCTTCTAAATAAACCTTGCCAGGAAAAAACCCATGATAGGTTCCTCATAATTCAGAAACATCTTGAAGGCACGTAACAAGAGAAATGCCTATGGCTATGGAATTACATAGAAAGCTTCATGTTTACATAAATGTTATAGGCAAAGAAAAACTACATATCATTAAAGGGTGAAATTTCCTCATGACTCAACTACATCTTTATAATTTATTTAAGAAGTGTACTTATGTCATGCCTTGATTAAAACCTGGTATATGGAGATGACTATAGTGAGGAGGGAGATGCAGAGATCACAGGCTGCTACTGGCCACCCCTGAACTGGTTACATTCAACTTTTATCACATTCAGTTGTTGTTGACCTGACCGCAAAATTCACATTTTCAATAGGCTGCAGAGGCTTCCTGTAATGAGGAATGTTAAAAATACTTGTTCTTCTAAATCAATAGCATGTGCACAGCATCCTTGTCACCTTCTCTTTTGCACACACACACACACACACATGCACACAGACATTCTTAGAGATGAAGAGAATATTTGAATATTTTCAAAATCATGTTTCTCAAGTAATGAGAAATCCTGAAAGAAGAATCATAGAATCATAGAATCATAGAATCAAAGAGTTGGAAGAGACCTCATGGGCCATCCAGTCCAACCCCCTGCCAAGAAGCAGGAATATTGCATTCAAATCACCCCTGACAAATGGCCATCCAGCCTCTGCTTAAAAGCTTCCAAAGAAGGAGCCTCCACCACACTCCGGGGCAGAGAGTTCCACTGCTGAACGGCTCTCACAGTCAGGAAGTTCTTCCTAATGTTCAGATGGAATCTCCTCTCTTGTAGTTTGAAGCCATTGTTCCGCGTCCTAGTCTCCAAGGAAGCAGAAAACAAGCTTGCTCCCTCCTCCTGACCTGTGTTACTCTAAGTGAAATTTCACACATTATTTCTTTGTGCAGAAAATTATGTTTCTAATATCACTGCATAGAAAGATTATGGTCTGTGCATAAAATGCTGAATTCATTGCAGGTAATTCTTCAATGCAACAAATACTATGTACAAATTTTGCACAAAATAAGCTCTAAACTGCAAATAGTCTTCACAATTGTAGCTTTCAAAGACTTTTTCAAAGCAAAAAATAGCCAAAATTGCTCATTGCTAAGAAGAAAGTTGTCAAAATGACTTATCAAGTTTGTGTGCCATTGGGTTTCCAAAATTTAGATGAACTTCATCACAATGGTGCTGCTTTTTACTGTTTACCTGCTGCTATTGATAGCAGGGAGGCAGCCACCATGTGGAAGAAAATCTCCTATTTGTCCTGTTTGAGATCACCATTCCCCTGTTTCAAGGAACATTACTTTTTTGTAGTGTTCCTTCAAAGTATTTTTGACTTATGGCAATTTTGGGGATGAGAGTGTGAAACACACCCAAGGATAGTTATTGGGTTTTCATGGCTGTGTGGGGAACTGAATCCAAGTCTCCAGAGTCAAAATCTCAATTTCAAACCATGACGTCACATTGGCTCTTACTTTTTAAATATCCCAGATGTTAACATGCCATGCCAGCCTCCTCAAGATTGCAAAGATTAAAGCTCCCATTCCTGGCATGGAAGCAATGAAAAATTGGCATTCTGGATTTGCTTTTTTTTCAAGGCAGTGTTTGCACCATGATTTAGGAAATATAACAATTGCTTGCAAAACATTTACATTTTACTGATTTCCATATAACCATTATATATATATATATATATATGGAACTGTTTATGCTTACATTTTAAAAAGAAATCGTGAACTTTTTGTATACATTTTCAATGTTTCAAAATATTGTAAATGGACAAAGAAATAAATGTGGTGGTGCAGTAGCCACTGGAAACCAGAAGATGGCTCTGTAGTTTCAAATTTTCTTTTATGTGGAATATGCTTACTATGCAAACCAAATGCAGAACATAAATAGCTGCTATATATGCTAATATGCAATGTATGTTTTTTAAAAATGTATAGGTAAATGGAATAATGTAAGCCAAGTAAATAAATCATTTTTACATGCATCCGTTTTGACAAAAGGTGGACAATATCTGCATGTGAGGTCATATTCACCACCACTAGCCAACCTTCTCAAAGCTTTGTATTTCCCTTGGAGGTCAAGGAATTTTATATTGTACCTGAAAAACGCATGCATTTGATTGCAAATAGTACAATTGCCGACTGTTAGAAGTTTTGTGGTTATGTCAGGAGGTAATTGTAGACGCATCTCTCTAGGCAAGCTGATATGATCCCCACCTCCAGATACTTGCTCACCACAGGATTAAACTGAGGCACAGTACTATAGACTTAGAGACAGCTGGCATACCTGAAATGACTCTATAATATATCAGACTACACACTGGTGTTATGTTTGCCTGCAAGCAAGTGTTTCTTGCACCTCTTTCTCAACTGGTTGAGTAAATGTTATCAAGCCTGGGATACTGAATCCATTATACAATATGATGTGCTAGCCTATGTGCCACACTCGACTGAAATAATAATAGCTTATTATTATTGATTTTTAAAATATCAATCAATAATTGGGATGTGATTATAGTAGTTTAGAACAACATGGGATATTTGAAAGATGAGATGTGATAATTTAGTGGCAGAACACATATTTAACTGCATATACTCATGTATAAATTAATGTCATTTATTAGTTTATGATAGGTTTTTGACCAAAATTGTGGATTTTGATATGACCAATGGATAAGTTGAAGGTCCTTTTGTAGAGAGGAGAAAGTACCATGCTACTGCCACCATTTTCAAAAAAACCAGAAATGGTGTCATGGCCTAATCTAAACTTTTTATATAAAGGCAGTCCCTCAGTTACAAACATCCAACTTACAAAGGACTCATAGTTAAGAATGGGAGTGAGACAACAGGAAGTGAGAGAAATCTGCCTCTTGGAAGGGAAATTCACCCCTGAAAGACTTTTCATAGAGAAAAGGCATCTCCACTAATCCTTGTTTCCACAATAAGCCAAATTTCTCAAAATCCAATTATCACAGGGACATAAAGTGAGGTGAAATCTTCTGAACAAGGGCACAGACAGCAAAACAAACACCACAGGGGTGTTAACCCTTCCCTATTCTATCCAAAGCATGCATGTGTGTGTGTGTGTACACATGTAAATATATGGAGTTACACTTCAAAAGTGTATCTGTTCCGACTTCAACATAAAAACAAATTCAACATAAAAACAAGCATACAGAACTTATCTTGTTCATAATTTGAGGATTGTGTGTAGTGTAATGATAGCCTTCTAGCCCTTTTAGAATGTGCAGCAGAACTATTCAGACACAGCAAGGGGAAAAGAGAGGGGTAGGAGGTATTTAGGCCTCTCAGTGCTTACAGTTTGATTGCTCAAACTTCCTTTTTAAGTTTTGGAAGTTAGCTATTATGGCTAACATGCCTTTGGTTATACCATGTAATTTGTCTAGGTTCCACTGAAAATAGAAGTTTGTCATGATGAACTTAAATATCATTTCTTTTAAAGGGACATTCTGGGACTGGGGACAGAAACTGGTTAGGATTTCACTTCCCTGAATCTCTTAATACAAGTATCAATGCTCAACAGTCCTGCCTGCAGGGACATTTCAACAGGGCAATCATTTTATAGGTCTTATTTGGTACATGACTGACCTCGCATTTTATTACTAATTATTATATCTCAAGGCATATAATAATTATGCATTGAGATATAATTATATCTCAATGTGTGATTGAGATATAATAATGAATGTGTGATTATTCAATGATCAGTCACTGAGTTTCATTGCACCTAGCTATCCCACTGATTCTCTTCCAAATTGAGAATTGGTTTTGGTACAAGTTCTTGATTTATACCAGTACTACTTTTTGGTGGTAGTGGAATTGCATGTTCCTGTGAGTCAAATGCTATGCTAACACAGGCTTTTGCTGAAGAGCCAGATTATATGACAAAATGGGGGAGGGGGGTAATTGCTGAAGGATCTCTCAGAGACAACAGCAGTGGTACCATAATTAATACTTGTTAGTACTATAGAGAATAGAAAAAAGATATAAAGGAAAATAACAACCAATTTTGTATAGTTCTTGTAGGCTTGGTTGATCAAAAATGGTTCAAAACTCATTTTGGATGTAGGAGGCACTGGAGGTTCCATTCTAAAGTCACTTCCCTTTTTTAAAAAAAAAATCAAAACTTTCTGAAACTTCTGAAATTTCTGAATCGCTTTGTTAATGGCAGACATGCATGCACAGTAGGAAAAAAAAAACCAGCACTGGCACTGGGGAAACTTCAGGGGATTCTCCCTCCCTCATTTTTAGACCAATCCTGATGAAACTTGTTACAGTGGTAGARCACATGAACCACTGTTATCTCACCAAATTTCATAACTTTTGACTTATCCAAGTTTTTATTAAAAACATTTTTAATAATAAAGAAAATCTGTTCCTGGTTTGAAAGTGTTATTTCCTGTTTCATTGGGTGGTATTTACTTTGAAAGTAGTTGTTCTACTCCAGAAACTTTGTTTGTGTGGCACAAACTGTGTTAAATTGTTGGAGAAGAGAAATCATAGTACAGACCCCATCAAGGGGCATCTAGACTGACCCCCTTCTTCTGGGCAGAAAGGCACCATCCAAACTCTCCTGACATCCATTTGCTTCCTCTACTGAGTTGGAGGGGACCCTCAAGACTCATCCATTTATTCCTATTTGCAGATGCAATCAATCATTTTATTTTATCATTACTTACTGACATAAAGGGCTGGCTGGCTGTGGCTGGCTACACCAGTGCCTTGTTCATGGTAATCAGGCCAAAGTGAAATGATTGGTTTTTAAGCAGTTTATGTTCTCTTGGCTTTGCAAAACTTGCTTATTGCTTGGCTGCTTTCTTTAGACCCCTTTGTAGATTCAATCAGTTTATTTTATATTTACATGAAGACTGCTACAGACAGCTATAGTATTTTGGGTCCTTCAGTCATTTTGGCTAATGAGCAGCGGGGCAGTGTGGGAAATGTAGGTTAACAGCAGGGCCTTTTGCAATCTCTACCATTGGGTCCTGGCCTTCACAAACGACAACTATGACTGTGCTTAGCCACGCCCACCTCATCCCTCCCTTGCATCGCTGGGGAAGGGAAAGCATGAGATTTTAAAACTTTTTAGGCTTTACCAAAGTTGCTTAATAGTTGTGAAAATTAAAATAACATTGGGAGACATTCAAACATTATGGAATATTTCTGAAAAAAGGTAAGTGGATCAAATTCGGATTCC